ATAAGCATCTGTTTTCTCAGCACGAGCAAGAACCATGCATTCGCAAGGAATCCACAAATACTAATCTGCCTCAGATGATACTTTCAGGGGAAAATCAATTTAGCCGGTCTTTGCTGTGATAAACTGGAGCCTTACGCATCACTTGCAGGCCCCTTTGGTCCAGCTGCCTTCGTCTGCGCAGGCAGGATTAATCGCGGGCTTTATCACGATGTTCAAAATAGGAGCGGGATGAGAGCTGGAAGGTGCCGCGGAGTGAAAGCTGTCTTCAGGTGCTGATTATCTTGCCCTGGAAAAAGCGAGTGAATGAACAGAGGAGGTGAAGTGGGGCCAGACCGCTGGAGCACACAGTGGCCTGCTGCGGTCTATCTCTGGATGGCCGGGCACCTTAAATAGCAGCCTAGGGCTGAGAGCACTTCCCTTAATACCAGATAAGAGGGATTATGCTATGCAGCTCTGCTGTTGTCTTATCTCCAAGCCCCCCTTTAATTTGTCAGTTTAAAATTTAGATCTATGAGCAGAGGTAGACATTTCAACTCCATCCATCCATCCATCCATCAGCTTCCATTTCAAAAAATGTAAAAATTCCAGACCAAGATTTTGTTTCAACCAACCAACTCAGCATGTAGAGTAACATTCATATAGTACTCATTTGGTTGGTTGAAACAAAATCCTGGTCTGGATTTTTACTTTCTGGACCTGAAACGTCTACCTCTGTCTATGAGCCCCCGTTTTTCGAGTTTTAGTCATAGCTGAACCTCATAGCGCCAGATCTGGTTTAATATTTTTGATTTACTGTATGCAGATGGCATGGGCAATGAGATGTAAACAAAAGGCATAATGCTAAACCTGTCTATCTGATCTTTGCGAGGGCAGAACAAAACACAGGGAGAAAAATCTTTTAAGATCACTCTATCCCGAGGCCCTAGGCCTGCAGTGTTTCCAAGAGCATTACAGAATGTCATCTACACTTACTTGACAGTGATTTGAAGCTCATGGTGTTGACAGGTGGCTGGGGTGGGGTGCTGTTGCTTTTGTTGTTCCTGTTGTTCTTGTTTTTGGTCCTGTTCTTATTTATTTAGTCAACCACTATATCTGTAGAAGCCCTTTCTTCAGTTATACAAAAAAAGATTTAGATGTTAGACTCAAAGGCTGTGTATGGGATGGTAGGCCAGGTGAATGTAGACTAACAAGGATAGGATTGGGTGGTACAATTTTACATGCCTCATATCTGCTTTTATAGCCCAACTTCTTCCTGAACAAGATCAGCCGAAGATCAGGCTCCATTCACTGCCTCATACATGCCGTGCAATTTCTAGCACTCCATACAGTCGAAGCTCAATTTAATCTGATTATATTTCAGACTGTTTGTAAATACCAAGTATATAAATGGGAAGTTTTTAAGTATGCTCAAAGCGTCTGTGTGCACATGTGTTTGGGATGATATATCTCCGGGGGGAAGATTGGAAAGCTCTCCCAGGACAGTAACACGGTGCCCGATGTCCTGGACCAGGTGGAGAGCGGTAATTAAGTCACCCCCCTGTGGACGTGTTTGTTCTCACCTAGGTGCTGTGACAAGGCCTTGGCAATACCTTTCACTAGCTGTGTTTTATATTAGCAATTCAGATTGGGAAAAGTCCACAAACCCAGGGACTGACTTACACTGTCTGCAGCTCAAGTGCTTACATAGTTTCCTTTGGCAGAGTTCTGTCTACTTTCTATGCCATGTGCTGTTTGTCATGTTTTAAGGCTGGTTGTCGTGCTCTGGTAAATAAATATGCTATTAACAGCTGACTCATAAGAGAGAACTATCCAGTCCCAGGGCTGAGCCAAATAAATTCCTAAACCGCAGGCTGATAGAAGCGTTGAATAGAAAAGGTTACAGTGCCCTGTGCTGCAGCATCTGAAATTAAATGAAATGCCTGCGATTTGCCTCCATCAGCACTCAAGGCCACAGCACTGAGAGTATATAATGGAGATGCACCCCTCCAAAATGACCCTCTATCTGAGGGCCACAAGCAAACCTCCACAAAACAGAACACACGCTGTCCCGAGTGAGGGAGACGTCAGCCTGTTATGGGATCTGTTGCTACATTATGCAGCTGCTATATCTTGGGAGAAATAATGTGAAGTGAAGCTGAGGGAATGTTTAGAGGGTCTGAGTCCTGATGTCTGCAGGGTGTGATGAAGTTGAGCCTCACACCCACCTGACCGTCACTTAGCACACCAAGGGGGGTGGGGGGGGGTGGGTTGCGGCCGGACTCCCAACGATAAAGACTGTCACAGGTGACTAACTCATAAATGTCTTCAAAACAGTCTCATCGCCAGCATCTTTTCTCCTCTCTCTCAATTTCCCCACACTGCATTTTATGCCGTTTGCTGCCACATTAATCTATTATTTACGTGACGCTGCTGTGCGCATCTACCAGGCCAAACAACAGGTCTTTTCCCAAGCAGCCGGAATTAGCGGCAAACTCAGATTGTAAACAGAGCAGGTGCGAGTGTTTTAGTACAAATATGGTGGAAGGATATCGACAGGGAAAGCTGTGGCTTGAAGTGCTTCTCGGTGGTAACGGCGTTTACCTGTGGACATGAAAAACACAGATTGTTTTTCTCCTGGACTAATTATTTTGCTACGAGCAGCATGTACTCCCTCCTGATGGAGAGCCGGAGAGGTATCTCTGAATGGATGCTGCAGCAGCATCACGGCCCTCAGATGTCCGTTTCCTTGGCAACACAGAGAGGGCGTGGGGAGACGAGGACGGTATAAAAAGCCAAGCCCTCCCAGGCTCATCGGGAGCTTGATATCACCGCTCTCAGCGCTGGGGGAACAGTGTGAGCCGCCTCCTCTGATTCACAGAAACAAATAGCCGAGCTTCATCCCCAATAGCTCCAACCATGCTCCGGCCCAAAGACCTGTGCCAGGGATCGGGCACCAAAACGTTCCTGGACGCCATGCACAGCGGCAAGGCTCACCTGGCACGCTTCGTCCTGGACGCCCTGGATGGGCGCATCATCAACTCCAAAACAGAGAACAACCGCACGCTGCTGATGTATGCCGTGTGTCTCCCGGACCCAGCCGCACGGGTCAAGTTCACGCATCTGCTGCTGGAAAAGGGGGCAGATGTCAACTGCCAGGATGAACATGGCCGGACCGCCCTGAGCCTGACCTGTGAGCTGGGCCACCTGGATGCCGTCAAGCTCTTGGTCCAGTACAACGCCGACCCTGAAATTACCGACACCTGGGGCAACAGCGCTCTGATGTACGCCGCCTGTGCCGGTCACAGCCAGGTGCTGGAGTTCCTTGTCCGGGCCTTCAAGAGGTTAGGTCTACGGCTTGACCGCACCAACTTGGCTGGCCACTCGGCACTTGAAGTCGCAGACTTCTTCGGGCACAACCAATGTATCCTGGCCCTGCACGGCCCTGGGAAGAAGATCTTGGCTACAGAGGACCAAGGAGGTGGGGTTCGTCGACCCAACCGACTCCCCAAGCAGGTCCTGGAAAGGTTCTCCAGGCAATTCCACAGCAAATGTGACGAGCACCTTCCAGCCATGTTTCAACGGCAGCTGCGGGTGGGGGAGGGCAATGGGCCGCCGAGACGCCTCCGAGCTCAGCGGTCCCCCGAGAAAATGGACCAAACCCAGACCAATCAGCTACAGAGGCTCTTCAGTAGGGACAGTAAGGTGATTGACTCGAGAGGGGCTAAAACGCTGGACCACACTCCAGAACTTTGTAAGGACGTCAAGAAGAGGGATGATCCACAAGAGGTGACTCCAACATGGGGTAAGGCAAAGTCATTCAACATGGAGTTCCTGTCCTGCAGAAAACAGTCATTTCAAGATGACATGTCGAACGGAACCCAAACTGCAATAACAATAAAGAGGGGATCACTGCAGGACGAGCAAGCTCTCACTTCCAAGATACAGGAAAACGCATCTCTAACAAATGATACTGACAAATTAGTAGGTGTGTCCCAAGTCCCATTAATGGAAATCAAGCAATCCCTGGAGCCAGCAGACAACAGCCTGAAACTATACCCTAACGACAAGCAGAACTCCACTTTCTCGGGAAGAAGAGAGTTTCAGAAGCGCCCGAGTATCCCCCAGTACGGCCGCCAAGACAAGCTGCTCTCTCACCGGGACGAGATCGCACCGGAGAAAATCCCATCGCGTCCGCCCGGCTTCACCGGACTGGGAACGCGGTTACTGCGAAGGTTCACTGCCCCAGAATTTATGAGAACGGTGCTAGACTTCCCCTCCGGCTCAGACATCGGCAGAGGAAAGATGTCTCGTTCGGAGACGTTCCCCCTATCACACACACACCAGAAGGTGGACAGTCAGCCGAGCGTGGACAGCATCAGCGCGGTGAACTGCGAGTTTGACAGCGCCGTCAACCTGCGGAAAAAGCTCCGCTCGTAAATTCGCATCGAGACGCATTCATTTGAAAATGAGGAAAATATTAAAACCTTCATCTTTTGTGCCTATATAACGAAAGCTGTGTTTGTGCGTGGCCTTATCGTTGTAAATATAAAGAATAAGCATAAATGCAAATATGCGTGTTATATGTCTGTCACCTTATTATTTCCCTATATTACGTATATTGTATTTCATAATTATAAGAGTTGTTCATCCGTGGTATTTAGGTCCGGAATTACCTATTAAAATCGTATTAAATCACTTGGGTGTGCGTCTTTATTACCTAAATGAAACTCATTTATTCTTAAATTGGTAGTAGACAACATTTAACTTGTCTTTAAATTGTATGCTTGTTTTGATAGTTATCTTGATAGGTGTTCAAGGTAGAAGTACAGCAACAGGAAACCTTGTGTGGTTTAAGTCTTACATTGATGCGACATTAAATTTAACTGTATTAAATCCACTACACGTTCAACCAATTTAAAGAAAGAGATCATAATTATTACTTTTATTTCAATATGCATGAATTCAGTCATCGGGTTGGTTTGTTTTACGCATTTTATGTAAAAATGCAACCCATCGCCATTCATTAAATGCGTTTTCTATGAATTTCAATGCGATTAAGGAAAATTATCCTAATTAATGAGTTCGGTTAAGTCACGTGCACGGGAAACACAGGGCGCGTGAAACTGGACTTAACTAAAGAATAAGTCCGAGTGCGGCGCAAATACTTTTTAGTTAAAGAAAGCTTTACTCGCTGCGAAACATTAGGTATGCAATATTTATTGTTCATTTATTACAAAATTAAAGCGTGTGGTTGCTCTCTTTCATGAAATACATACTGGTACAAACACGAGAAAGGTTTCGAAACCCTCAACGAATACAAACACAACGTAGGATATATGCTCGGATGGTGGAGATCTTCAAGCGTCACATGCCAAGCCCGTGTGCTTTTACCTATGCAAACTAACGCTCGAAAGGCGCTCTTTAGAAAAGCGGACTCCTCGATCACAGCAGAGCAAGGGTGCGTAGGGGGCAAGCAGAAAGAGGATCTTCGCATGTTTACGTACATTCAGAACACATACGTGACAAAACGAGGTATCTGACACTGTATTCACCGCATCCCCTGTGAGTACCAAAGTCCAGGTTCTCTTTGAACACAATATCCCTCAAAGTTTCATCTGAAGTAAACTGTGGAACATTTAAAAAAAAAAAAAAAAACCTGTGAGGTTCGGAGGTCACATTTACAATTTCACATCTTACAAACGGTTCACGACACCTTTTGGAAAAGCAGGCGAGTTTCTGTTTTTACAGAAGATAAAATAGATTATGAAAATAACCAAGTCCTCTTTCCATTGTCTCATAAAAAAACCCTCATTTAAATGTAAAACAGTCCTCTCCTGATTGCCAAAGGTTAATTAATGAAGGAAGGAATCACTGAGTGCCTCCAACCAATCAAAATTAACTACTGTTTAATCTCACTATTTGGCTACTGTGAAGATTTTACTACTCTATGCTGAGCGCAGGTTTGACCGCCATCCTGTCACTCTGCAGGTTGAACACAGGTTGCTTTTTGTTCAGGATTTTATATGGAACTGTGATCTGGACCATCAAAGATGAACAAGTCAGCGTCTGGTAATACTGTGCATTAGGCACGCTACAGTCTCTCATGTCCATCTTTGTGTGTGTCACTACAAGGTCCTTATTGGGAAATGAGGAGTCCCACTGACACCAGATGTTGATGCCAGGTAAGTACTGTGTCGTCTCTTTTTTAGCTGCATTAAGAGAATTAGTGATGTTAGCATGCAGATACCACTCTAATCAATAAAGTGCATTTCGTCGTTCCAGATCCATGCTGTTTCCTTCAGCTGCCATGCAGCAGAGTTGACATCCCCCCCAGACTGTCGGGGGGGTGGGAGGATGTCCAGACTAGAGCCGCTAGGATTGGCGGCAGGTTGCGCCTGTTTCTGTGCGCCGCCCCCGCTCCCCCGCAGGTTAGGTCGCGTGTTGATGCTCAGTCGGGGCAACGAGAGACGATTGTAGAAGCAATGGGGGGGGTCGGCCAGGTCAACACCGGGACATGCGCTTACGGTACTGCTCCACCAAGGGCACCAGGCACTGGGGCGACCCACTCTGCAGTAAGAAGGGATGTTCCAGAAGGTCCGTGGCGCTGGCTCGCTCCAGTGGGTCTCGAGTTAACATGCGGTCCAGGAAATCCTTCAGCACCGGAGAGACCTGCAGAAAGGCAAGAACATGGCCCATCTTCATCGGCTGATATGTTTGTTTCAGACCATGGTGTTGTCTGGCTTCAGGCTGTGTATATAAATAAAAAATATAGTGTATGCTGTGTGTGTGTTTCACCTTGTGAAGGTTCCTAACAGTTGGTGCAGGCTCATCTCTCAGCCTTTTCATAGCTGCCACTGGGGCCTCGCTGAAGTACGGAGGCTCTCCGTCCACCATCTCCACCACCATGATGCCCAGAGACCAGATGTCCACCTGCCAGAAACACAGTCCAAATCAATTGAACGTAATAGTGAATGAACTGAGCCGAAGGACAGAAGGTTGTCAGGTCAAATCAGTTTCAGAGTCCACTTGGATCTTGTATTTGAATGAACTCATGAAACCGTAAATGGGCAACTGAAGCCCAGACTGTTAACTGTTATCAGGAGATTATGAAATTGCAAAATCTGAGCTATCCTGAATCCCTTTAAGGTGTAAAAAGGGCACAGTTAGAAAGCCAATGTGATGCCAGGCTTTCCCAGTCTCAGACACACAACCCCTAGCATAACACGGGGAACATTTCAGGCACTCATTTCAGCACTCATTTCAGGCACTCATTTCAGGCACTCTCCCTAACATAAGCACAAGAGCTTTGGAGGGACATTAGCTGTTCGGGGCAAAAACGCCACACCAAATGTAAAGATGGTGTTTATGCAAAAATGCATCTCATAACCAATGAAGCACTTAGCCCATTTGCCTATATTTCCATGACGCTGCTTAGACATTTTTAAATCCAAATCAAGTTTCGCTTTTCCATACATGAGTCTGCATCTTACCACCTGCGTACGTGACTTAAATATAACTCCCGTTTTTTGATTTGTGAACGTGCTTCAGGGTTAAATAGTTTATGTAAAGTGCTGTTAGTATTTATTCAGCTTTAAGTTACAGGTTTGACATGGTGTCCTCACTGCTTACCTCTGTGCTGTACGGGTGTTTGGAAATAACCTCTGGTGCCATCCAATATGGCGTGCCCACCAGCGACTTCCTCTTGGGGATGTCCTTGCTGATTTGGGCACAGAACCCAAAGTCTGACAGCTTAACCTGTATGGGATTGACAAACAGGCCGTATTTTGTTTGGGATTAAAATGATATCTGAAAAGCACATTAAGGACCATCTCAATCCAAAGCTCTCAGATTACAAAAATGCACAATTATATCTTTCAATTGTACTTTTAAAGTCCTACCTTGGTTTTATGAGAACCTCATAAGTAACGTTTATACTTTATCTTTAATTAGATCTTCTCCGGTATTCAGGCTGCTTAAAAAGTCAAGAACTATTGATCTTTAAGAGCGAACAGGGGCATGAGACCTGGTTTACCTACCCTTCCATCTAGGGTGAGGAGGATAGAGTCACTTTTGATGTCCCTGTGAATGACACCCTGGGAGTGCAGGTAGGCCAGCGCCTGCAGCACGGCCTCACACACCGTGGCGATCTGCTCTTCACTCAGCCTGGGGGGGGGTGGTCTGTCTGTTAGCCCCAATCACACGCACCGCCTCCAGCTCATTCACATAAATTCACATGGAACTTATTATGGCAAATAACGATTTCAGAATGTCATTAGTTCAGTTAAGTAGTGAACTGTACTGTTTCTCAAAGAGGACAATTCAGAATAGTACAAAAATTGTTTATGTTCCACAACAGTCTTCTGCTGAATCCCTTTGAATGCTGTATTACTCTGTAATATTAGCTCCACACTGCCCTCTAGTGCCAAAAGAGTTAATGAAGGTTAGGGTGGTCCATCATTCATTTCATGCTCAATAATTTAATCATCACTACCCACAATCAAAGCTGAATGATCTACTCCATCCACAGACCCTAACTCTGAAATGTCTGTGTTGTAGTCTTTCTGGATCTCAGATCATAGTGTTTTGCATATGACCTTGCCTTGTGTCCCTTTTCATCCTACCTTGTTTCAGACACAATGTTGGTCAAAGCACCACCCTGGAGATACTCCATGATAACCCAGAGCTCTTCTTCTACCAGGGCACTCTTATACATCTCCACCACGTTCCTGTGCTGGTAGTCCCTCATGATGACAACCTACAAGAAGTGCAGGGACCACATGATTTCTATTGCATGATGAATTGTTGTCGCCCATAGGACACAGAGATTTTTCCTCTAGGTGTCAGTTGCACCGCAGTGTCGTCTAAAATCTACAGCACTCCTGTCCTGAGAACCGCCCCCCCCACCGCCATCACTAGGAAAGGGGCCAGTGAGGAGGGTCGGATACCTCGTTGAAGAGAAGCTCTCGCCGCTGCTGCTTCCGAAGATCCATCATCTTGACTGCCACCAGCCGGCCGCTGTGTTTCTCGCGAGCAATGCAAACCACCCCGGTTGATCCCTCCCCAATCTTCACAAAGTTCTCCAGGTAGGACCGGGGGTCCCCCTTATCCACCACCATCTGCAGTGCAGCCTTGAACTGGTCGTGGGTCACCTTGGGGGGGTCAGGTGGTGGCCGGGGGGAGGGGTGCTGGGGGGGCCTGAAGGAGGGGGAGCAGGCACCAGTTGGGCTGGTGGCCAGGGAGCCTGTTGGGGACGGTCGGGGCTGGGATGGGCTGTCCTGCCCCATGGGGGTGGACCCAGAGCTGCTGGCCAAGCGTAGGGAAGGATCAGTATTGATGCTGGGGGACAGCCCGATAGTGTAGCTTGACGAGGGCCGCACTGCTCGGTGGGTTCTCGTTCCACCCACTTGTGGGCTCCGGGTGCCATTGGGCAGAAAACTGGGCTGGTGCCGTAAGATAGAGTCTGCCTGCAATGACAGAGGGGAGGGAAAGAGATCACCCTGTGCCTGCTGCTGGTACCCTGGATTAATTAAGGGTGGTCAGTGTCAGAAGGACATTTTTAAGGCAGAATAAAATTACAAAATACCCTTTGACTGAAAGCCTCTGAGTCAGTAAACCCTTGCTCAGATCTGATTAGTCTGTCTCCTAAACCAGCGTTTCCCAAACTAGTCCTCAGGGCAAACTGGATGGATCCATGTTTTTGTTTTATTCCAGTTCCCAGCACCCCTGTAAGGCATTTACAACTCTTGATTGCTTGGGTCAGGTGTTCTGAGAACTGAGATAAAACAAAAATGTGGATCTGTCCAATAAGCCCAAGCACTGGTTTGGGGAAACCCAAGTCCTAAATCATGGATTCACACACATTTCACATTTCACATTCTTATCACACATTTATAATGAGCTTTTTTTTTCACTGACTCCTTAGTCCCCTTCAGTCTAGCTGAAGACCCGCATTTTTCCTCAAATGTATCAAATGACACCTCAACGTTTCCCAAAGCCACGACTGCAGCGAACTTGGACTGCGTGTTCTGCTTAACTCTGGATGGATGTGCCCTTGAGCTGAAGCCAGCACTCAGGAGATCCTGTATTTGCTGCATCATAAAAGCAGTATTTTCAGCTTTTCAGCTGCCTTCCAAAACCATTCGCCACGAACACGTGGGAGGGAGCTGCAAGAAAGTCTCCTAAATTTTATGGGGGCACCTGCTGTAGGAAAGCGGTGTGTGAATTCCATTTGAGTTCCGTTATGAATTCAGCTCCTTTTATGAAACTCAATGTGTGCTGACAGACTGTCATTGGCTTGTTCATTACTGAGAGATGCTCTGCACTATTCACTTGCTGTAGGCCTGTATCCAAGGTAACCCACATTGCTTATGGTTTAATGCTCACACACCCAGTAGCCCGGAGAAGTCTGTGCCCAGAAAATTTAGGTCAGCGGGCCGGCTTGCCGGTAGCATCATCCTCCGAGTCTGAGAGAGTCCCACAAACACACTTTTAAATTACTTTATGATGCGTGACTCAATGGCAGCTGAAGCGGTGATTACCTTGAGGTCATACGAGGAGAAGGGCCTCCCTGGGCTGTTCTGCGTGTGAAAGGGGGGCCTATCAAAGGCGCTGAAGTCTGCCAGGCCCCCTAGGTTGGCCCGAGGCTGTGGGGCTGATGTTGCTGGGCTGTAAAAGCAGGACACTGGTCTCTGGGCAATCAGGCCAGTCCTTGGGCCCTTGTCCCTGAGAGGCACCAACCTCCCTGTGGGGCTGCTGGGATTAGGCCACAGGCTAGGTGCCTCCCCACTGCCATCTGGAGACGGGGACTTGTTCAGGGAGGTGAGGCTGACCTCATGGGTGGACTTGGCCCTGGGCAGGGCTCCGTTAGCCTGCAAGGGGTTACGGTCCGGGCCCAGACGGGGACTCCCGCTCTCGCTGCGCACATTGCGCATCTTGTCACGCCAGCCCTGGCGACCACTGTTGGAGTCCTCTTGCATCAGGTCCTCATACTGGTACGTGTCTCCCTCCTTGACCTCCCCCAACCGGCCCAGGGATTGCGCCCTCTTCCGGGCCGAGGGGCTGCTTCTCCGCAAGGAGTTGGAGCTGGTCACAGAAAGGCGGTTCATGTCAGAGATGACCGCAGAGATGTACTCGCCATGCCCTATGAAGCTCCCCCGGACGATAGTCTGGAAAAGAAACAGCCGTATTGCATTCCTTAACTGACTTGTAGGGGTTTGCGGTAAACATGCAGATATCATCAGAGAAGTCTTTTACCAGCAATGTAGAAATTTTCTCAGGTATTTTTGCAATACAGATACTACTCTCCTGTGATGACTTCTCCAGAAATCTAGTGCTAGTGATGAAAGTGCTAACAAGCTTCTGTAAATCTAAACCCAGATGGCTCCCCCTCTCAGATGATTGCTGTACAGTGGTATGTTTTTTTCTTACTGAATTCTGCGTTTATTTGCACAGGAAGCAGAAATGACTTCTAAGGGTGACACTTCAGCACAACCATAAATAACAGACAAAAACCGCTTATGTTCAGACTACAAATGTTGTATGTAAGACTATAAAAGCTAGCTTAATAACATAAAGGATGCTTGCAGGGCTGATGATTGTGGCTGAGCATGTTCACAATGCACAGATCTACAGACGCCATTAAACTTTCCATAGTTGGGTGCACAGACGCATGATAATCCCTTTCATTCGCGATTGTCGCGCGCCTCCCATGATGCACCACACTGCTGGAGCAGAGGCGTCAAAATTTGATGCGTCACGTGGCTCGTCCTTTCTGTCTATCCGGCATGGCTTTGTTGCCTGGCGAGTAATCTGTCGGCCCAGCCGGTTTACCAGCGCGTTTAACATGTTTCTTTTATCAGCCACAGACTGCTGTTACTGTCTGATTTTCCTGAAGCTCAGCCCCCTCTGTGAAATCAGACGAAGTTATGATTATGTAGCATTCTGTTTATTTTTGTGCGGACGTCCCGTTCCCTCAATTTATACAAATGAGTCGTAGTGTTATAAATCCCGCGGTTCGCTGAGCAGTTATTTTTAAAAGTGTGGAAATAAAACCGTGCGATAGTTGACAAAATGCCGCGAGGCGAACCGGGCTTTGCCTGTCACCTCCGGCGCGCGTGATTCACGGCGTCTAAATGTGAAGGAGAAAAAGCAAGGACAGATGCCGCAAAACTGACTTTATTTAAGGAAAAAAAACGTATTTTCTACCCATAAATATTAATCCATGCTCGGTTTTATTTTAGTTCAGTTGAATCCTCAGTGTGGAACCTTCCTGACTGTTCAGGTGAGGTAAACGACGCAAGTCTTAAAGTTTCACAGTACACAAGGTGCGTAAAGAAAACCAGAAGGAGCGACACAGAGCCCAGAACATCAACGGGTTGAGACCGTATTGGTAACATAATACCTCCGCCACGAACATTTCAACTTCCTTTGCTACAGCGTTATTGACCTATTATCGACCTTCATATAAGCAATACGTGGTTGATTCAGTCCTGCGGCTGTACTATGAGCATCGTCTGCTTGTTCTTCTATATCTGATTATGCTTGTAGACTGCTCAATTGGGGAAAGTATACTGGATATTATTTACGAAATACATCCTTATTTTATAGATATTTGTACCAGGGGTAATGGTACTGAAGCGCCACCTAGTGACTATTTAGCACCACTTAATTTTTATGGATAGACCATCAATATCGGGCTGTAATAAAATTTGACATGGAATCAGGTACGCGTGAAAAAGGTTTAAATTACTTGAAGATCTTTGAGATAAAACAGCAGGGAATTTAAACCTTTAGGGCACAAAAGTACTTTAAGAAGGAAAGCAAAAACCTGTCACAACGCTCTAAATTTACAGGGTCGTACTAATCATTATGTATATCTGAATTCCACCTTGCATTCACAATATTCATATACTGTTCCACGTTTTTAATATTCTGACGAAATATGTTGATGGTACAATTAAACATGAGAGAATGTTGCTCAGCATAAAAAGCATCACAGGCAATATCACCTTTTAGGTCATAATTATACTATTGTAATAAATTATAAGACTTTTTAAAGTTTTAAGTGTATTTTTAAGTCGACTTTAGTGTGTTAACTTTGGAGCATCATTTTCACCCAGGAAACCAAAAATATGTTTGTCATTACTGTGATGTTAGGTTGTCATAACATTGCAGTTGGCCAGTTATGCTTAATGGTGCGAAAGTGGGATTCTTAGAAAATAAAGTACAGCTTTTATGCTAATAACCGACAGTGGGAAGAAAAACAGTGAATGGACTGATATGTTGCCATGGCTGCAAGCCCTAGAGGTTAAATACCACAGTCATGAGAAAGAATCGAATTATCTGGAAGATGCAGTGATAAAAAAATTTAAGACCATGGCTAAAAAAAATGCTGCCATTAAAGCACATTTTAGGCTGTAATTAAACAAACCACAGTAAGCTTACATGCTCCAGCAGGCAAAAGAAACAGCGTGGCATGCAGTAAAGTCCACATGGATGCTGCTTTATGTACTTTGAATATACATTTGTGCCATTCACTGGAGAAGATGGCGCAAGATCACATGCTGCACTGTCTTGCATCCTTCACGGTATGGTTCAGCCTGCGGCCCAATGTTGAATCCTGGTAAAGGCGCTGCACCTGTGCTTGTGAGATGGTGCTTGGGAGGGGAGGGCACAGTGGGGGCTCTCATGAACAGGGAGGACCTGAAGCGGGCAGTTTCTTCCCCGTTTCTGTTATCAGCACTGCTGAATCACTGCTGTACCTGCACAATTCCTCCCCAAGCTGATCATTCATAGGAAACTGTCATGGACAGTTATTAATTTCCTGTACAGACTCATAAATCTTACATCCACCCCCCATAACCCACAAGTACGCAGACAGGCCTTGTTAGCTGCTCCCAGCAGGCAAAAGCGTGGACGCCTAACCCAGTGGTTGCTGGTTCAAATCCCAGCAGATTCCTGGCAGGTTGAAATGCTCTTCAATGTCCAACAACTTACTATTAAAGAATTTTATATGAGCAAATGATTAATGAAATTATGCAGAATGCATACTGCCACTCTATAATATAAGCTGTTGACAAATTACTGAACAATACAGCATACTCCAAAGGAACATTCCTGATAACTATAGTAGCTAGCTGTGGCGTGCTAACGAAGTAAATGTTTTCTATTTTTATTTGCATCTGACAGCCTCCTCAATTGTACGTGCGTTGATGCTCATTTTGCCTTGGTGAGAACTGTTTCCTCCCACTGCTTTCTGTCAGTGAGAATGGCACTACAGTACCACAGGGCCAGGGTTGGAACAAAGTCTCTCCTGTCTGCATGAGGACCAGACCCATTGGAGAATGAGACTTTAAACGCAATTAAGCCAACTGGTATCCAAGACTGCCAGTTTTTTTTTTATTATTACTGTTGTCCTATACATGTACACAGCTGGAGGTTTACTGAACAGTTCATGTTAAGTACCATAGTCAAGGATACAACCGTTCACCCTGTTATTAGCACCAGATTAATAACCATCTGTTGCCCCACTACAGTACTCAAGAGCATAATATTAAAGTAAGAAAGGGGCACTCAGCTGCATTACCTTTTTTGGCTTGAGCTCCACCGGGGTGATCCTGGAAGGATCCACCACTGGCTTCGGCCTGCGAAGATTCTCGATGATGCTCTGCCATTGGGGCGGTAGGCCCACAAAGCAGCCCCGCTTGGAGTCATATGACGTGTGGACGCGGTGCTCGAAATTCTTTGGAGCCGAGATCTCAGGTCTCTTCTTTTTCTTCTTTCGGAACATCCTCAGGTCCGAGAGAGCAAGAACCTGCCGGAAGCAAGACATCCTCCTGTTAAAAGGAGATTTCACTCTTCTCAAGTAGTCCATTGCGTCTAGCGTAACTACACGATGGTGTTTTTTTGCATTTAAGGAGCCTTTGACTTTAACACAAGTTGAGCTTCCTGCTCGCATACCACGCAGATGTACATTCCAATGGTTGGCCAGGTACAAAACAAACCAAACTTTCCAGGTAAGCCTGATGTCATGTGATTCTGCATTCTTGTAGCATGTCACATGGTTCAGTGTAACCAACTGCTGATTTGCAATTCTCTTAAGGAGAACATAATTTAACACCCTCCCATCACAAGTGGGTCCAAGGCAAAGACCATCTGCTCATGAAAAGTTTTGAAAGAGTGATTGAAGCCCAGAGTTGAAATGTTGTCAGTAATATGTCATCCCTTAGTTCAGCCCGCTGACTGCCTCATGCATCTGATGAGTTTTGCTCTGAGGCATAGGGACAGGGAACGTGTGCGCATGCAAAATGGAAGCCCTTTGGTCATTTGGGGCTTATTCATTTATTCATTCACTGTACCCTTTTACCGACGAGGACACAGCTTGCATTTGCAGCAGAAAGACACACAAAGAACTTGCTGACCGTGACCCACAATATATGTTAATGAAGGGCAAACAGCCCTCTTATAAACACCCAGTTTGGCTTAAAGAGCATCATCCCTGGCAATGTCAAAGACAATGGCTGGAAGGTTGCTTGCAGGGTCTGCTTTTTCACTGACTTTGAGCTAATGGCCTCCATGCTGTGTGCTGTAGGCTTCATATTTGCAAAGATAAGGCATCTTTGTCTTTAGTATTTGCCATACAGCTCTTAAAAGAAAAGTCCTACTTTGCATATCAAGTTACCCAAATGTGTCTCACTGTTAATCCATGACATTTATCTGCACATAGGTTTTGGTTTCATGTTCCTGGTATTCCTGTGGACAAAAATCACAGGTAAAGCTGCTATGATCAGCATTGTTACAAATACGGTGGGCGGGGCCAGCATTGTGGTTTGCAGAAACATATGAAGGAAAAAGGCGCACAGGAAGTTATTATATAACATATGCTTTCCAGGATGGTGCGTTTTATATGGCCCACATTGTGCAGTGAAAGCAGGGCTGTGCTGCCCTGCTCATCTAGCTGAATGTCATACTGTCAGGCTCCGCCCTTTGACATACTATCATCGATCGTCACGACTGGCAAAATGAGCGGCCTTTGTGATGACACTCCAGCAGGCATTGTCCTTATGGATGCATGGCAAGGAAGAGGCATGTAGCAGATGTGAAAGCCTGAGTAAAAGCTAAATCAGGATAATTTTTTTCCTAATTATAAGGAGAAGGAAAGGTGACACATGACAGTTGTGTATTGAGGAAGCAAGCTAAAAGGTTTAAGAATAACTCAGTCACATGGCTAATATGCTAGGTGTTGCATAACCATATCTTCCTTTGCCATCCCTATGTAAATAACTCTGAGCTAGAAGGATTTTAACGAGACCTGACAAGAGCGGCATGGCTTGCAGCAGTCAGGATGGGGAGAACGGTGAAACCAAAAAATGAAAGCGCCAAAGCCTGTTGCAGACTGGGAGGGTGCAGTATGTACAAAAACATCAAAAGTCTGTCTGGCAATTTGTTTTGATTATTCTGTGATTTGGAGTCTATGAGGTTGCATCTCGCAGTGTCACATGGAAACAGTAGCCATCACGAACACTTCAAAGGGCAGCCGTGTGTTGCGATGGTGCCCCGCGTTATTCTGTGAAAATAACAGTGGATCTTACACCCACACACACAAAATAAATACATGTTCAAAAGAAAATTCCTGTTCAGAGCACATCCTGTATTCATATTCATATTCCTTGTTTTCCATATAATCTCTTACAATCCTACCAAGGGCTTCAGAAGGGCATGGATACCCTGACAGATTCAGGGGGCCCAGTACTAGGGCCCCCCCACTTGGTAAAATTCTATTTATATGGTGAGACCTGTATTTGCCAACTAAAGCAGGGGACACAGAATTTCTAGCTCCACCCCTAAATCCCACTTTCGTATCTTAAAGTTGATGATTGGTCATTCAGCATTTGCATCTTTCCTTCAAGTTTCTGTGATGTTGCAGGTCTTTGCAATATCTGTGACCAGGTAATCATCACGTTCTTGCACATGTTGGTTTGCAGAGATGCAGTGGGCTTTTCTCTACTAGCAAGCCAATCAGTATTTACCCAAGAAGAGAGGAAACCCGCCACAGTAATTTGTTTTATGTGACAAATTAGTTTAGTGTCACTTAGGGAAGCAGTAGAATGATTTTGGTATTCCTGTTTGATTTTCATGCCTACTGGTCAACCTACCACCAATGATGCAAGGACTGTAACTAAATGCAAAAATGTCAAAATAGGGACAGGGTATTAAACTTTTTGCTTTATAAGAATTTGAAGGCTTGCACTTGAAGGTCTACCAGCTTGTGCTATCGGACCACTACGGATGATTCAAAATGCAACCACATGATATTTATTCAACCTAGACTCACATCAAGTTCCAGTCCTTGATGTTGGATTACAGGTCCATCAATGGACAGGCATCCATCCCCTTCAAAAACCTACTCAAGACCTATGCTCCATCTTGCCCCCTTCCGGCAGCAAATTAATGTTGCTCGGAACTCCCATTATTACATGAGAAGAGTCACTGGAGTCAGTTCTCTTGCCCCTGACTTGCATGTCGCTTTGGACAAAGACGTCTGCTACATATGTAAAATGTAAATATGTCAGCTCTTTCTGTACATCCCTGCTCTTCTTCATAAGCTCAGACCTTAGTTTCTGCTCAGAACTTACCTAAAATTCTGTCTTGCCTGATATTTATGGGTTCTATAAATGCATAAGAACATATTCTTCAGTGGCTCTACAGTGTCTTAACTGAGACAGCACTTATTAAAATTCTGATATGTGTTTGCTTTACTAGATTGGGTAAAGAAGCAGGTATTATTATCGATTCAGAAGCCCCGATCTCATAGGATTCTGCAAGCTTTCATGACAGCTTGCTATTGATTTGGTAAAATGATCCTCATAGTACTTGTTTCTGGAATGTTGGAACTACAGGTACCTCACTGTCCAGAGAACTCCGTGGGGGGGCATCAAATGTCGTGACAGAGAGTGACAAATAATAATATAATAACATTTCCTCTGGGACTAGAAATGCTGGCTTTTAAATTTGTTAGTAGAAATGGAACAACTTCCTCTGAACATGATGGATTCTGATGGACATTTTGATCAAAATGCAATTTTTTTTTTTACCAATAACAGGGTATTTAAACATGCACCCTACATAATTTTTTCCCTCAATCAAAACATTTTGCTATGGACACGTTTATCCATGTTCGGACAGGTAGATAATCTCTGCCCCTGGAGGCTGTTTCCTGGTTTTCGTTGTCGATGGCAGAATCAGGTGAGACGGTGCTTGCACGAAAATCCAGGTCAGTCCATAACTGTGTGAATCACACTGCACTAAGCACGGCGCCTGATAGCTCACTGGTTCTCCAACAAGTTGGATCCTGCACAGGAGCCGTACAGCAGTCAAGGGGAAGTATGTCCCAGCCTCGCCTGATTGGCCTGCACTTCTTCCCCAAAGAAAACAAGCATTCCCAAGCTGCTTACCTGCAGCTATGGCTTTGGGAAGAAGAGCGAGGATGAGTAGATATGAAAGATGTCCTGCCCCCCCCCCCTTCACCAAACTAACTCAGGTTTTAATTTGGCATGCCAGAGGATAACAGTAATGAGAGCTGGGATTTTCAGGGTACCAGTTCTCAGGCAAGAAAAAAAGTGAAAGAAAAGGTTTAATTTTGTCCTCAGTTTAAAAGGTTGGAGTAAGACACCACCAAAACCACAGGAACTGGATTAGCTAGCTAACCAATTTTTATACAGCTTCATCTGTGCAGTCGTCAGGGCTTCTGGAGGTGTACAGGCAGGAATGGATCCTCACTTGTGTTTCCCCGTATTAGAAAAAGGACTGTATGAACCTGGATATGACCTGGACCTGGGTTTTGATGTCGGACACCGTGCCCCTTTGTCACTTTGGCACTGTTACTGTATGTTTACCACAGAGCCCTTTGCAGAGTGAGAAGGCTGATTACTCATGAAATTGGGGATGTTCTCCTTAGTACATAAATGTTTACTGCAGGTGCATGACTTGGGTGAAACTATAATATCTAATGGACAGTTGACTCAACTTTCAGGAAGGATTGTGAGTGTTCTCTTATAGGGAAGGCATTTGAATAGCCGTAGGGGACTTTGTTCACAATTTAAATGAGGAGAATGCATTTTAAAAATATGCACTAAATCTGCCATTCAGTGAACAATGTTGATTCCAGATTGTTTGTCACATGTTTTAGCCAGATTCACTATCTAAGTGAAATAGACTAAAAGACTGAATGTGAAACACTTCTTAGCCAGGTGGATCTTATGTCTCCCACTTCCTGCAGAGCTGTTGGGGACACAGTTGGTTCTGTATGTCGGAAATGGGCTGTCTCTCTGGATTGCATCAACAGGCGCTCAGGATTATTATACTTGCTGAGATGGGTGGTCTGTTTCTAAGCACTACACTGGTCTTCCTCTCATGCCCCAGATATAATTGGTAATTAAAAAATAGGGCCACTACAGATTTTTTGTGCTCCAGAAGATGATGAGAAGACTGCGAGGCCACTAGGTCAGAAATCACGCAATACCGATATGGAGCGACACCCTGGTTGTAAAAAGCCGAAAAAAAAACACAGCGTCATTCTTACCAAACTGGTTCGTAATGTTTTCTGCTCCCCTTTGAATTTTAACGCGCCATTTTTCGCAGCCATGTGAATCAACTCCAGCTACTGTTGCCTGCTTTTTTAAAGCCTAGAGGTAGGGCGGACTGACGATGTTTCAGAAACACTGCACCTGGAAAGTAGTGGCTGCACTGAAGCCTCTGTTGTTTACCCGAGGTGTTTGAGGATTTCTCCTAAATGTCTTCTTATGTTGCTCAACTTTTGTTACGCCCTTTGGCGAACCTTCTGGAGGTGAGTAGCTTATAATGCCAGAGGGGAATTTGCTGAAGACTGGGTCATAGGTTTGGCAGAGGTAATTTCAGGCGTTGTCATAACCAGAAATGTGTCTTTTCTCTCAGAATGAATCCTGCACTTGACATGGCGTTGTGCAGAAATACTCTGTAATGTCAGCTGCCTCTTCGCGGTGCGATCAGCACGACTGGATGTGGCACCCAGCCCCTCACTCTCTCTTTATTTACAGTGACGGCTTGGACGGTAAGAGCAGTGCCGTTGGGGAGTGGGGGGGTTAGGTTCTGCCAGCCGTCCCTCCCATTGCTTTTTACCAAGCCGCTGTGCATTCTCACTAATTGAGTCGCCCTTCTGTTCCCTGGAGACCCCTGCCCTTCACTCGGCACGTTCAGACGCTCCACAGGGTCGGATGAGCCCTTGCTGCATGCCTAATAAGGCGGATTCGGTAAAAGGAGATGGCAGACCTAGCAGTATGTGGCTCCCCTCCCCTGACTATGTAACTGGGGGGGGGGGTTATAACCAAGAGGAAACAAAACAGGAGATGTGTTCTGTCAGCATTGCAATGACATACAGCCTCTGACTAGCAAACAGACGTGTTAAGGATACTTGGAAGGCCTCTGTCACCTGTTCTGAGCTGTCCTGATACATTGCTGAAAGAAAGCCTTGTGTTTAATTCTCACTCTCATTTCCAGTCCTTCCCCATGAAATTAATATAAGTGGCGGCTGCAGCCACATCCATCCGAAAGCCTGTTTTATATACCTGGCAGTCCAGAAAGGGAGCTCTTCCCCATACACTGTTTAATTAAAGATCTTCCTGGCTCAAGCCAATCCCGTAGACAGTTTTAGCCTGGCAAGATAAAGACGTATCATCAGCCCACACCAAAAAGACAGGCCAAATGGCTTCTCAGGGGCTTAATTTATTGATGCAGTGCGCCTCCCCCGCAAATCTCACCATGTAGCCTTTCCCCATGGAAGCGGAAACTCGCGTCGACTTCCTTCCACGCCTTGACTGCTCCCCGGGCCAGAGTGACAGGGATTTCTCAGAATTTGGCACATCGTCCAATTATTCACCTCCATATTTCACTTGCTTCCTCCTCACCCTGGGGGAGCAGATTTCACACCGGACCCGCACCCCCCCCATAGACATGGCGCGATGATATTTTTAAAACGATTTCTTTCTGCACCTCATTAAGATGCTGCAGGTGCCTGATGGTGAGTCGTGACCTTACTCACAAGCTCGTATCTGTCACGAGACCGCCAAAATCGACCCCCTCGCCGTCCAGATAAGCCATAAAAGAATCACCGCTGGATTGGCAGGAGACAGGCAAATGGATCATGCAGATCCGAATAGACACGTGTGCCCATCTGCCCGCTTCCCGTTGTTACTTCCCCTGCCTGCTTCACCCCACTCGCTGGGATCGCTGCTCTTGGGATGACGTTTGTGCCTGTGCCATGGCATCAACCACAATCCCCATAGGGGAGCTCAGTACATTTGACCATGAAGGGCCACGCTTGTCTTCCGAAACGAGCAGACTAATTAGGTCGACTTGTTTATGTTTACAAGGGATTAACGTCCCCTGACATCCACAACCTCTCTGGCGCTCACCAGTCCATATCCTGAAAACCCCCTATTCTCTGCTGGTTCCAGAATGTGATGGCCACTTGGCGTCACTCCCACACTCGGCACTGTCCCCTGACGAGCAGGCCGTCTATGGCCATGGGTTCAGGTGGGGCCAGGTGGGTTCAGACGAGGTCGTCGCTGTCCTGGGAGGGCGGTTGCTGAACTCGGAGGCATGTTACACCACGATTGGAATTTTAGGCAGCAGCTGCGATTTCTCAGATGCTTTGCTGCAGAAACTTTTCAAGTCGCAACACAGTATAGCTACATGAATTCATCAGAGCGGACAGTCAGGCTCCTATAGCAGTGCGGTAACGCCGGGGTAAATGGCCGTGCATGGGAAGCCCAGATCAGGGAATCGGGAAACCGGTGCTGTGCCATACGGCAACTCCCAGAGGCACTGCCACATCGACACGGACATTACGGTAATGCGGCCACATTGTTACACATCACCTAATGATTGTCAGCTCACTCCAGCCCCCTATACGGTTGTGCCTGACGACACCCCACTGTGCTGGTTTGCAGGCACCCTCCCGCACGGTCGAGTAAGGACAACCTTAAGGGGGCATGTTATGGGAGCAGGAGAGAAGGCAGTGGGAAAACAGCGCGTGGTCACCCTCAGGAACGTATCCTTCACCTGAACAGTGCCTCGCCCTCTTAATCGTACCCAAAAGACAGCAGCAGTTGGACGGTAAGAGGCGCACGCCTCGCCGGGAACACGAAAATGACAGGAAAGGCACGGGAGCTATATCAAACAACAGTGAGACGACAGTCTGCACAATAGCATGCACGGTTCCGACTCTCTCACCTGGCTCTGAATTTACATCCTTCCCAGGAAAGGTGAAGGGATAGCGAGGGAGGAAAAGGTTTTGCGGAGGACAGGAGGGCAGAGGTGCTTCTCTCGTGACACCCTTTCAGAGGTGAACCTCCTCCATCTCCCTTCTTTTCTCCCCGTTCACCAGCCTCTCCGCATACTGCATTCAGCTCTTGCCAGTACCCAGTGTCCCTCCAGCGCTGCTGCTGTACCTAGCCCTTAGCTCTTTGTCAGTGAGCCTTTGCCTCCTTTCTTTTTTTCCTCTGAACCCCCCCCCCCCCCAACACCATCACCACCATCACCACCCTCCCCCAACACGATCTCCTGCTCCCCGGTGTACGCGAAGGGGGGGCGGGGAGTCTGATGGCACGGAACAATGGAAGAACGCAGACCCCCTTACCTTAGCGTTTGGTGAGGAGGAGAAGATCTCCTCTGGGAAGAGGTTTGCGAGTGAGAGCATGCACACACACATGCGCACACACGCTCGCCGGCGCGCACACACTTGCATACACACATCGCTCACAGATAGAGAGAGAGAGAGGCACAGAGAGAGAGAGAGAGAGGGAGGGCTGGCTCTCAAGCAAGCGCCTACTGCAGGCTGCCGCTTGCCCGGTGAAAGCCTGATGCGTTCCTCCCTCCAGGCAGAGAGAAGGAGACGCAAGCCAGCTCAAAGCCTCTTTGTCTGGGATGACTCACGCCCAATGCCATGACCAACTCCTTGTCCGTGCAGCGGTACCAGCAGGCAGGAACGGTCCTGGACGGAGGAAACCGTGGAGGAGGAGAGCCTGAGAGGACACCGCAGAACGGCGCACAAATGTACTCTCCGCGCAACCCCCCCGCATCCTATAGGCTGTCTTTATGGTGGACCAAACAATCTACATGCGCTTGTCCGTTAAACGCAAGCCTCCAATCGCAGGAGGTGTAGGAGACGAGAGGCGGGCCTTATGACAGCAATCAGTTACCTGGCTCTACCTGGCACGTCCTCCCTCCCCTGCAGCTGACATGTGACCTGGGGTTGAGAGATGGAGGTTGTGACCCATTCACCACCCAAGGCCTGAGGGGGCTCCTGCCCACCTGCCTTCCGGTTAATGACACAAGTTTACAGCAGCACTTTTTCAGCTGGAGAACTCAGCAAACTTGGACATGTGCTACTCATACTGTCACCTGACTGCAGAAGCACATGCTGAGCCCTACCCAAGTGTTCTCTGGGAAATACAGTCATGGCTCCTTCTCCTGATAAGAATAGACCAGTCAGACATTTATGTAACACTAATCATTTGTCAGTTTGAAGGCTTTAGTCAAAAGTCAAAGCTCTCACGTCAATTTCTTAATTGGCTGTCACTTGGACCTCCTCCATTTCCATCCGCCGAGGTTCTTGGCTGCGTGACGTCGATGTGTCATCGCGCTCACCTTTGTGGGTCCTTCAGGGATGGCAGTGACATTGAAACAGCATGGGGTGTGAACTGCAGCTGCCTTAGCAGTGACTGGCCGTGTTCAGGACAGCCACGTCTTATCCGGCACCAAAGAATGGGACCAAAAGGCCCTCCTGGGACAATTTGCATCTCAAACAGGCACAGCTACTCTGTGAGGAGGCATGACAGATGCTAGATGTGACCCCGCCCCCCTCCAGTCCCGCCTCCTTTTGTCGTCGTAGTTATTAATTGGATCACTCATCTCCCACCTTCCTGCTGCTGCCCACAGCACACGGCTCCTGGGAGAGCTGTGGGTGGAGGGGGGCAGGGGACAAAAAACCTGGGGCAACAGCTATAAATGCCACCGTAAAACGAAAAACATGCCAAAAAAAGCATGCGCCTTTCTTTCTTCACCTCTCAGCTGAAATTCTCCAAATATACTATCACCTAAGACACATGTTTCACTCATTCTGTTCCCCATAAAAACCTCTCCTGATATTTCCAGAGGACATACAAAGGCTGAATCCTATTTTGGTAACACACAGACGCTCACATGTCTCATAGACGCAATCAGGCTAATTGTCGGGGAGCTAATTGCCCATTGTCATGCGACGGCTTATTGTCCTGACATGGGCGCTGCTGCTCTGAGGGAAGCTTCCTCCGTAAACAGAGTGGGGGGACCCAGCCGCCACCCAATTACAGAGGGCAGCCACAAAGCCCTCTTCTCACCTGCTGTGACTGTTAATCTGGAGGAAAAAGAGGCAGAAAGAAGCTCGACTGCAGCCCACAGATTACCGTGCAGAGCCATGTTAGATATGAACATCACCAGCTGCTGCATCCCCCTCTGAACATATGGCCACAGTACCTTAAACATGAATCATTGATTAACCAGGTTATGGCTTGTTCCAAAAGAATGTGGTAATCTCACACCCAAAACAGCTACTAATACTTTTAGTCTGAAGTACAATTCTGCCTTCTACAGGTTGCCTGCAGCACGCATTTTCTCAGTTATTTGGATGAGCCCTCGTGGATGCAAATGCATGGGCATCATTAGGTCCGATCACTCGGGGATATAGCCCTGTGTATTTTAAACCTAGTCCCGAGTATTTTAGCCCCAATGCCAATCTTCCTTCAAAAAAGAAATGTCAAGCCCCAGGCAAACTTGAGTTAACCCCGGATCTTTTCAATAGCTAGAAACTCCCCTTTGCAATCCCAAGATATCTTGAGGGTGATTGGCATTTGGTACCGTTCCTGTAGTGTGTTCCAGAAGGGCGTGACATGGGGAGATGCATCTCTACATCAGACTCCTTCCGTTTCATCTGCTCGGTGTGGTGCTGCATTTGTGCCGTAAGCACTATAGCGTTTTAAGGGCGGGGGGAGGGGGGGGGGGGGCTCCCACTTTGGAACGCCGGAAGACCTTCATGACCCAGAGAAGGGAAACACCGCCCACTTCCACTCTGGTAACCATGGGGTGGCACCCTGCCCCATGCCTTTCAGTTTGCTTCTGATAATAAGCCGCACTTTGCAAGACAATACGGACCCTTGGCTCCCTGCTGTTCAAATACTCCTGGGGGGGGGGGGGGGGGGCAGCAGAAGGAGGCAGAATGAGTCCAGATAGGCCCCCAAGCTGCTGAGTGACACAAAAGACATCAGCCAGACACACTGCGACCATAATCAGCCTTGTCTTACATGAACCATGACACCAATGTTTGTTTGGGCAGTGTCTTAAAGGGCCAGTCTCACCCAAGCGGCAGCTATATGTGTAACTCGGGTCCTTGTGAGCAAGGGCTTGCTCACCCTGGACCCCTCTACTGCCCGCTGCTAGTACTTAATTTACTCATTGAATCCAGAGACATGCACAAAGCTTGTATTGCCCATTTGTACAGCTGAATAACTCCAATGGCCACTCCCGACGCAAACACACACCTCTCAGACACATGTACGTGTGTTGTCCAGGGCTACAAGTTTGTACGGATCCTCAGACAGGCTGAACTGGAACGGACTCGACTCACCAGATGAAGAGATCCAGTTCTGAGCGACAGACGTGGGCTTCGCTTTCTCGCCGGCGTTTCAGGCCACTTCGGCACATGGGCTGTAAGGAGCCGGCAACTGTCTTGCGACCCGGCTTGCACCAGCGATTCTCACTGATCCAAGGCCGCCCAGCCGGTTCCTCTTATGCAGCCAAGGAGGTCAGTTTTCCCTTGCACATAACTCCCCGCCCCACTATCCATTAAATATTAACTTCTGGCCATGTGAGAAGACAGCAGCCCTCACCACCTGTTACTTACTTCTCTTAGCTGGCACAAAATTCTTGTGAGGTTTTTTCGTTGTTGTTGTTGTTGCTACGAGTCAGTTTCCAATATGCGGCCACTCACAAGCATGCAGTTTGAGCTTTTCCATTTGAGTCATGTTCAGGAAGGAGATTCTGAGCAGTAAATTACAGTTACAGCTTATGATAGGCTCACTCAGACTGAGGTGCGTCTTAGTTTACAGAAAGAAAGGTGTAGTTTATTGTTTTAGGGAATTTTTTACCAAGGTGTATGTTCAACAGGCTCAATAAAAAAAGATAATGTGGCTCATTTACACTGGTGATAATATTAATTACTTAATCCTCTACCTGATTAACCCCAAAGTATCCATCTCTTCCTTAAACAGTAAGTCAGCTTTGCAGGAGGTGGAACGACTGCTGAGTTAGCTAGAGCCAAGTGCTGAAATCACCATGACAACACTGCCTGTAATGCCCCCTGCTGGTAGAAGAATATGAAGCGCTCTAAACTCAGAATAGTGCAGTGAGCTGCCTTGGATGCACACTCGGGTTTTTGAACATCCGTGGATTTTGAGAAGGAAAGGGGCAGCTGACTGAGTGCGAAGCAGTCAGTGTCTGGAAATGGATACGCGAGACAGACAATGTAAGGCAGGGCAACCTTGCCTGAAGCCACCCTTACGATGACAATTTGTTTTGCAGTTTCTCTTGTAGAATGGGCATTTCAGACACACGATAGGTTGCTCAGAATTTTCATGCCAACATGAAATATGTCATTTTAACTTTTCTTATTAATACAGAGGGCGTGAATGTTTTTATTTACAGTTAGGTGGGGTTGACTAAGGCAGCAGAACATTGGCTCAACCAGTCTGATCTGTTTGCCAGGAGTGTCAGGTCAAAGGTTACAGATGGTAGAGTAAAGCTTCTCCAAACAGATGAGTGTATGGTTAGCAGTCGTCACCAGCTGGCCAGGTACCAGGTAGACGTTGGTGTGCCAAGAACAGGACTTTAAAAGGCTGTATGTGGGGGTCATGCAGTTGGCATTCTGCCAGGGGCACGGCTTTAGTTTGCAGATCATGGAACACTGGCACACTTGTTAAAGGGGAAGAGATCCTTCCCAAATCACCCATAACCTAACCACTCCAGTTGGCCCGATCACCGATCACACCTAACCTCTTGCTTTGTGAACGTGACTCTGTCTGAGACAGCTAACCCAATGCTGACAGCCAAGGGTATGGAAATGATGCGAAATGAAGAATTAGGTTGCCAGTGGCAGCAGAAGGCAGGCAGGAATCGGTGGAGGCAGGCGGCAGGGCTGTTGCACGAGCCACTGAAAGGCTCATGCGTCATTTCTGTTCAATGGTAGACCATGCCCCATCGTGGCAGCGTAATTATGTCGCGTTTTCTAATTGCTCAAAAGTGCTAGATAATAGTAGACAGCTGTGTTCCACCACTTGTCAGCGTACTTCAGGAAAAATATATATTTAGCAGAAGTCAAAATGCTCTCGCACGACCAAAAGAAATGGAACTCGATCAAGGGCCTTTTATATAAGCCAGCCAGTTTTGTAAATGTGGTCCGTAGCGGGATTAAGAGAAGAGATTCTAAACCTTGATAAACCAAGGCAACAGCTTCTGGTTTGTTTAGGTTGAATTTCTGATGCAAGAAAATGTTGAATACTATTTATATTTGGTCAACCTAAAGCAAGCCAGTTACACTTATACAATCCAACTCAGGCTGGCATTTTAACACAGAACATGAGAGATGCCACCACCTGTTTGATTGGCAGTTAAAGGGGCAGTTCACCCTGAAACTGGAAAGAAGATAGCACCAAAACATCCATTATTCCATTACTCCACACACCTATCGTATCATTGTACAGAAGATATGGCTGGGGTGCTTGTATCTTCTGTGCAGTGATACGATTGGTGTGTGGAGTTCGGTAGAAGAAAATAGTTCCTACATTAAACTACTCACTACAAAGTCAGTGGTGGATTATCTTCAGTAACCTGGTCATGATTTCTGGTAAGAGGCATTACTGTTGGATTGGATTTTTCAAATGCATTTTTCTGGCGCTTAAATCACCACAGAACGAATGCTATTCACTCCCATTATATTCCGGAGAATTACGACGTCTGCAAAACTAGGCAACTCCCAGCAGCAACCTAGTTGGATAGATAACTGTAAAAAGATGTTTTAGTTCTATGGGGTGAACTGTCCCTTTAACATTGACTCAGAAGTAGTATCATACTAACATTTTATTAATAATCAGGCAATACAAGTTACAGCTAAAAACCACATAAATAAAAACAAGACTCACAGAATACGATTAACCTATTTTACTAATTTTTTTACAAAAGCTACCTGTGACATTAGCAGTGTTAAAAATATTCAGTTATCATGAGGTTATTCTCAGTGCCACAGAGGAAAATCCTCTCAACAAGATGCTGGAGGTCAGACAGAATGGACACTGTGGACTGATTGCCTGGATTCAGAATTTTCTGGAAGAATTCTTGCCAAACATGACCATGTAGAGTTCTACAAATAAAGCAACAGATAAGAGGATTACTTACACTCAAAACACATTAAAGACTCTACTATACTTCCACAAAGAGCTCTCATACCCAGTAAAGTCATCAGTGGGCTTCCATTCAGAATCTTCTCTCACGACATTCATTGTTTGTTTTTTCACTAACATGTACACCGTTTCTGCGATTCCAATAAGGTCAACCTGTGGGTGCAAGAGGAAACTTGAGAAACAAGTGTTTAGTTCAGCTCGACTGGAGACTGATTGAGATTTTAAGCCATTTGTAACCGAGCAGTAAATTTTATGACACCTATTTAAGAGTAAACCAGTTCTTCCCTAGGTCAACAGTACACAGAGTGGGGGGAAGGCACGGAGTCCGGAGCTTCTCAGAAGGGGTGGAGAACCAGACCCAGCCCAGTACGCACCTGGTAAGGGCTGGAGGATGTTGACAGCAAGCCTTGTCTTATGAAGGCCTGGGCAGAAGGAAGGTCTCCAGCAGACATCACCTCAGGCTGCTGGTCCAGGTCCACGCAGGAAGAGAAGTCCAGCATTTGTAGGACGCTGTCTGCATCACCTCCAGACTCCCTTGGGCCAGGCAGACACAGGAAAAGCATAAGAACCAAATAAACAAGGAAAGAGGGAACAGGAGGGTACGGAAGGCAGGAGGACTGGATCTGCCCACCTGCATCGCAGGAGAACAGTGTCAGGCCGGATGTTCCCGTGCACCAAGCGGCAGGAGTGCATTTGCTCCATCATCTCCAACAGCTGTTTCGTGAGAGACACAGCCACCTGTAGGAAGGGGGATCTCTCCAGGAAGTCCTGTGGGAAACAAACTCATTAGATTAATAATCCCCCTCCCCCGCTCCAAAAGGAACAAACATAGCATGAAGACCGAAGATCTGGAGATGTTCATCTACCTGCAGAGGGCTCAAACAGCGCCCCCAGCTGAGAGTTATGCAGCCATCCATGTAGAAGAAGCAGCTGCTTCGGTAGCCAAAGTACTTCTGGGATTTGGGACCCAGGCGGCTCCTCAGCTGAGCAGCAACATAGAAGTCCCAGGGTACAGTTTCAAAATCCACCTGTAGGGGGCAGTCAGATCAGGCTATGGCTCTCCCCTCCTGTCCTATTCCCAGCTATCAGGATTGGGGGATGGTATGGTACCTTGACGACGACACTCTCTCTGCTTTTGGTTTGCCCAAAATGGACCACGCCATTTTCACCGCTGACTATCTGGGAGAGGATCATGATGGACTCTTCACCTTAAACCCCACCCCCCCCAAAAAAATTCAGTGCTGTTGCAGTGTTGTTACTGTTCAACAGTTCACCAGTATCGTGTGTTAAGGGGCAGCTTTCTAACATTAGATGCTTAACAAGCACCAATGACATGGAAGCCAAACATCTGTTTGAGTAATCGACATTGCTGGTCATGGTTACCTATGAACAGTGCATCATCCTCCATCACCTCTGGCAAAGATCTCACATTCCTGTAGAAGTTAGGAAAGGAATCGAGGTCCACCTTGCTCAGCACCCGTCTCCGGGAGCTCATACTGCAAGGGTTGTCCTTCTCCACATCTGCATACAGGGCAAAATGAGTGAATTCACCGAAGGTGGTGAAGATCAACACTCAACGCGTGACCCCAAGGACTTACTCTGTGCAGTTTCCTCAGGGATGCTGGGAAACTGGGGAGGGCAAGCCTCCATCCCGCTGGATGAGTGCATGGCCTTCATACCAGACATACCACCCAGAGAGGAGCCGGAAAAAGCTGAAGACACTGAATAGTGGCCATCTTCCAGGCTGGCCTCTTCAATGGGACTGCCAGGGTGAGAAAAGGTACTCTCTCCATTTCATGTTCCCTTCTGGTTACAGTCCTAAAGCTTACAGCATCTTTGAACATTACTAACCTGAGCCGTTCCCCCCTCAGAACCACCTCATAATCCGCCTGTTGCACTGCAGGGGTTGGTGCCGACACCACGGGGTCGACACTGAATGTGGACAGATCCGGGAGGCCGTCGGCCGAGCTTGCAGAGGCGCCGAGGCCTGAACCCGAGCCGCCGAAAGGTGTGGACGCTAGGTGAGCAGCCCTCGCAAAGTCGCAGGTGTCGTCTGGGCTGGGGCACAGGGTTTTGTTTTTGTAGCTACTGACAATGGCATCGTCGGTCAGGGACTCGATTCCTTCCAAGCCATCCTGGGGAGGAAAACAATACTTAAATAAACTAAACTACATATGATGACTTGGTTCAGGAAGCCTTGGACCCACTATTTGAAACTCCACTGTCCCGCAAAAACATTCATTTCTACTAATTAGTAATTTAACTACTAATTAGTATTTGCCTACACCAACTGTCAACTAATTGTCCAATTAATAATTAGTAATTACTACTGAGTAATGGATCACATACCCGTGTGTGTGTACTTATGGGTCGAAACTTAAAACACTACCAGGTTTAAACAGTCAGCTCCATTTAACTAGCCTTGTTGAATACCCATCTGCGCAGGATGGAGTTGAAGTCTTACACTTTCCAGTCGGGTGGCAGGTGCTTCTGCCAGTGGTTTCAGTACGGCAGTCAGCGGCCTACATACAGATGGTCTACATCCAACAGCCTTAGATGTCCTGTGAAGGAAAAACGGCATTTAACCACTCTGGTTTCTCATTTTAAACAGGCTGAGAACCACTCCGTATCTCTCCAGACTTACACTTCTTGTGTTTTTTCACCAGTGGTGCTCTCATCAAATATGGTGAAAGGCAGGACCAGGGCGCTGCCTTTGTCAGCTGGCAAAGAAATGACACAGAATTAATGACCGTGGGCTCTTCCCCATCTCAAGAATATTTCCTTTACAAATTTGCTAGGCAGGTCCTACGACGTTCAGAAAGTCACAGGGGACGGTACCCCTTTAACGGCCAAGAGTGACAGAGATACTTCTGACAGCTATACGCTGTTAGTGAATAACACCATACCTAAACGAGGGTCCTCATTTTCCACAGGCTGGTTGACCCTGGAAACAAAGACCAAGAATGTTCTCTTATAGTAGCAGCTGGAATTTCTTATGATGTCACTGTTTGGGCAGTATTCGACACAGCTTAATATACTGTAGCAGGTTAGGGTTTATAGATGTAACTGAGGAACAGGAGCAATCAGCCCATGCTGAGATTTGATCTGGCAACCTTCTGCTTACACACCCAGCCCCCGTTTCTCCAAAATGACGATATACTGCACTTCAAGGTGATAATACACTAATCCCCCCCACCCAAAAAAATGGGAGAGTCCCAAACATCACAGCAGTCGTACCTTGCAGAAGAGCTGGCCTCGCATTCTTCATAAATTTTAAACCCTGGGTCAGAACCCTGCCTCCGTGACACAGCGCATCCAGGCAGACAGTCCACTGGCTGAGATGATTCACCGGCCTCCAGTCGGCCCTGTGGTAGGAGAGTCGGCTCAACGTGGCATTAACGGATATGCACAGGGGAGGTGTGGGCCACGGGGGAGGGCTAACTCACCTGCTGGCCAGCACCTGCCTGTGGACACCTGTCTTGGAGAACGTTCCGCTTCTCTTCAATTTGCCGCTTCAGGTCCTCCTTAACCTCTTTCAATTTTTTCTCTTTTTCTAATTTAGAGGAAGGCAAAAAAGCAAAACAAAAAGTACTGTTACTTGGGAAAAGTACCTGCAGTACAGATATAAGGTCCATCCGTGTAGCCAAAATTTGCTTAGGTAAGCTCTCTCTTCACATTGTTCCCCCACCCCCTAGGAGCCGGCCGGGGGCCTCAGACCCCTCCACATTTCGGCTACCTTCCAGCTCCTGGGCCGCTCTCTTGTAGTAGCGCTCCGCCCGTAGCTCCTCAAAGCAGAACTCTGTGACGCCACTGAACAGCAGCTCCTTGCAGTACATGCTCTGCTCCTTTTTGTCGCCCTCCGCCTGCTGGGGCTCCTGCAGACGCTCCAGGGGGGTCTCCTCCTTGGAGGGCTTCCGCACAGACAGCACTGTGTTCACCGTGGGGTTAATCTTATGTGGTGTCCTACCAGAAGGCATGCAGAAAAAAATCCATTTCAGGACTTCCTTTGGATACAGTAGCTCCAGTGTGCTGCTGACCAAAGACACCTGACCAGAGACCTAAATGGTAAACCAGCACCCCTAAACGCAAGGTGATCTTTCTGATCCACCCATTATTTCCATTGTCCTATGGAAACCCCACAATGACATGGGGAGAACATGCAAACTCCACATGCACAGAGCCAGGGCAGAGACTCTAACCCTGGCCTCCAGATGTGCGAGGCAACCATGCTAACCACTGTGCCACCATGCCCTCAGAGCCATGTAGATCATTCAAAAACATCAACCTAGAACCCTACGTCAACCCAACTTGAATATGAGAGATTCGTAAAGAACAACGAATGTTTGACAGCCACGGCCGTCTTGGCAATACTCACACAACAGGGGGCTGATCACACTCTTCCACGTAAGGCTGGAAGTTTGGTTTGCTGGGTGGGGCCACAACACTGTGGCCTGCCCTGGACTTCTGTGGCATCTAGACACAAAGGCAATGGCTCTGTAGATTAAACTTGCAGTGAATGTAGGACAAATTTCAAACCATTTTTGATACTTGACACAGTATGTAACAACTCACTAAATTTCAGTTGCAATTTTATTTGCAGTAAAAACTTTACAACCTTTTGTCACTGTCTAAAAAGACCTATGTGTTGCATTGTCAATCAAAGCTTATTAAGTACAGTAGTAGTAATTGTAAATTATGCTATAATTATGTTTAGAGGCACTCGGGAACAAACAAATATTCAAAAGGAGATTTACCTAAGATTACTACAATGCATAATACAACAGATATGCATTACTTTTACATGCCGTCATTATCTTGCGTCTCAAAACAAATACTTGCAACAATTGTATGACTAAAGTTTGTATGGAGGTGAAAGTAATTGCAGACTGTTCTCTTAATGTGAAAATGTTTAACAGGGTTAGGGTTAGGGTTACTACAAAAAATATGTTAACCCATGAAAAAAATTCATATCATATCTGTACTTCAACCACAACAGGCTCATACAGATTAATATTTCATTAAATCAGAAATAAGACACCTCTCTCTAAACCCTTTGTATTGCATGTTGTGTCGATCCTTTAGCTAGATTTGTGGTGTTTCCCCCCCCTTGTCAGCATAGTGCAGTGGTACCACTTGCATATGTCCTGGTGGATTAGTCTTCATTTGGCACAAAGCCAGAGTATTTCCAGACGCCACTCTGGCTACACTCGTCATCAGTTAAGCTCTGACACTTGTGAACTAGTCATGTTAGTGTGAGACTGCACCCAGGTCTAGGCACGCAAGTAAGTGCAAACTGGAAGTGCAAGCTGCAAAATACTTTGATATTTTTGACAATACTATCACAGGGCTTCAGACTGCAACCAGAATGGTTGCATGTGTGAGCTTTTATCGAGTGTACGAGTTAAAATTTCATGTGGTCACATCTGTGCCAGTGTGTGCTAATACGATGTTTTGCTCCTGCACAGGTACTGCATTAATGAATTGTGATTGAAAGTTCTCCCCCCTTCTATACTATTTAATGCGTTTTTTTTATTTTTTGAGTTGGTCTCTCGCAACCTGCATGTGGGACTACATACGCATACGTGCACTGATGATACAACGTGCAAAATGATGCCTTTAGCGGTGGTGTTAACGTGTTCCTGTAAGGCAGCGATCTACGGCAGATTGTCCAATGAGAAGATGAGACTGGTGGAGGTGGGGGGGGGGAGCCCAAGCGAGGTCCTGAGACAGACACTAGAGATGAGTTAGGGTCTTAAAAAGTTAAGGTTTGGATTTAAAAAATTTGCAAATACAGTTACTGCATCATGTCTTGAGTCACTGTCAATCTTTCATTAATACGGAAACTATTATGTAAATTAGGATAACTATTCATCAGCATGCAAGGTCATTAATTAAAACCATGCTGCACCGGAAAACAAAAAGGGGTGCGACCAAATCATGTGCCGGTGCTGCCACTGGAAGAGTTAGTCTGAAGCCCTGCTAGTACCTTTCCTGCTTGTGTATGAGGGCAGTATGCTGGCTCTCTCCTCTCAACTCTTACCTTCACATCGGTCCATTTTTCAGGCATCATCTCATTCTCTTTCGCCCTGGAGCTGGGGGGGGCCATCCAGCGTTCCGGCCTGGGTTCGGAGGGCTCGGCCGCGGCGGCTGCAGACGCCTGCTTTTCGTCAAACACCAGGAATCGAGAATTGTGGCCATTATGAGGGGCTGTAGGTAGCTGGAGATTCAGGCCACGTGAACGATCTGTCAAGAAATGCAGAGAAGCTGAAAAATCAGCATCAGGGAGGTGGGGGGGGAGCGCCCAGCATGTTCACAGTAGCCTAATCAACCCTGGAAGTAACACTTACGGCTAACGGCGGCCCCAGTCCGCACGATGGGAGCGATGGCTGTCTTCTTCCCCCTGGGCTTCAGGTCTACCAGGGAGGACCTCTGAGGCTGTGCTGGCTCAGGGCTGTCAGGCTCCTGCTCCCCACCATCCAGCATGTCCTTCATCACCTGCCGTGACACACGTGCCTGGAACGCTCTGTGTGCGTGTGGGTTAGTGTCAGCCTTTGCTCAAACCGAGGATTTCAGAAACTATAGATTTCAATGCTCTGAGATCACAGGCATACTTGTGGTACTGATGGAGCTTATCGGCAGGTTCAGCCCCGCACTTAAAGCCCTCCTGGTAGACGCTGTCCGCCTTCTTAGAGTCCCCGTGTGTCTCCAACTCCTCAGACCAGGCAATGTACAAGGCTGCCTGCTGGACACCGATACCCTGCCCGTGCATGTAATTGTACATGTCCAGGGGCTCAGTGCTGCTCTCGGCCTGAAAGCAAGTGGGGCATTAGCACAGCTGTCCAAGTGCTCCCCCTACTGAACAAGCACCACGTGGGAAAAGCGGAGCAACTTACAAATTTGATCCAGAGGTTGACGTAGCGAGAATCATTGTGGTACTGGGTCTCATCCACAAAGCGTTTGACTGCCCTCTCCAACAGCACAGAAAGATTACTCTCCTTTCCTCCCTGAGGGTATGTCTGCTGAGTCCATTTGATGTACCTGAGGAATGATTACATGGCTATGGACCGTGTCCTGCCTCAAGCGGATTCCAGCTGCTTCACCTTCACATTAGTTCAACAAATACATTCTATTTATTTATTAAAGCTTCCTACCTGTCCCAGACATCAAGTGGGTCATCTCCACTGTACAATCGGAGCTCAGACTCAAAAGCCCTTAAAAGGGGGAAAGAAAAAAAAAATAAAAATCAGGTGTATACTCAAGAACATTCAGATACAGAAAAAATAAACAACCCGCGTTGTAGGAGGTACAGGTGACCCCTAGCGGAACATGTTTAATTACTACCAGCCAGCTAACCACTACTACGTACAGCAAAAGATCCGCAGGATCATCCCTAATCTGCCCATCAGGAAGGTATCCCAGGCAATGGCTAATGTTACTTTGATTAGACGCCGAAAACATCATTTGTCCGGGATTCAGCAATTCAGCCAGACTCCCGTGTAAACAAGACGCGCCCATACTGTTTCTGTTGCTGAATGGCAGCGTATCCCGCGCCGTCCTGCTGGCTCAATGCTTGGTGCAGGGCTGAAATGGCTCGGCCACGCCTCAGTGGCTGAATATTCTCTTTGCACAGCTCCCACTCGGCTTCCCCCTCAGCCATGGCGAAGCTTTAAAGCTGCAAATCTGCCAGAGAACAGAAAACATGAGCTGCCACTTAGCCCGCATGCATCTTCACGCGACACTAGGAGCAACCATGTCAATTAGTCGTTAGCTAAATAACCTCGCAGCAATGGGCCAAAACATAAATCATATAGAGAAACACGACATTTAAATGGAGCAACTTTATATTTAGCCATAATAAATTATCACGAAATCATTTTTTCTAAAAAACTGCAGTGCCAATAGTATCGCTATCACATTATCACCATCATCACCATCATCATCATCATACATTAGCTTACTAAATGTTGGAAATAACAACGTTAACATTGAATACTAATTGTTACTTTCTCAAAATGAATATAATGTACCAACCTGCTTAAAACTGAGCAGAATAAACCCAAGTTACACAAAGGGACACCGCTCCGCTGTCTACACCCCAATCTCCCTTCAAAAATTTAAACGAAAACCGCCAGAAAAGCGAAGCTGATTGGACGGCCAGGTCCAAAAGGTACTTCCGGATAAATGGAATTTAAAGCTTTTTAGTACTATATATTTTCAGCGGAAATAAAACAAATTGTATATGACGTCACCTGCTTAAACCTATAATGCAGCGATATACTTCAAAGTTCTATAACATTGACGAAAACATTGATATACATATATTAGCTGAACGTACCCACCCGCACGCCTTGTACGGACTATGGGAAATGGAGTTCGATGTGTATCTGCATTTCATGATTCTATTGCTAAACTTGTAAACTGTACTTTCTGTTCATATTTTACAAAATTGCTCCGGATTCCCCGCGACCCCGAATAAGATAAGCGGTTACAGAAAATGAATGGACGAATGGGTGGATAGATAGATGGATGGATGGATGCATGTGGGTGGATAATTGATTTCGTTTTTGCTAGAAAACTACGTGTACCAGGATGCAACGGGAATGGCTTATACTTCCGTTATGTGTTCTTGTATTGGTTTGCTCTGTCTTGACTAGATTAGTGTTCTTCGGCTTAACATGGGGGACATACTGGATTTTTTCATTTAAACAAAGGCTCCAGGTTAGCTTTTGTGTTTAATACGGATATCTCTGACCCGTTCTGTTAATTTGACATCTAGCTCCCGACTTTATGAAGTTTGACAGCGGTCAGGGCTACACCACCAAAACTATTATCTTGACTGATTTTTAGTATCATTACATACAATCTGCTTGCAGTTATTTTGGTTCTTGACAAGACATGGACAAGCGATGTTACGGATGTGCTTCAAAATTTACGCTATTCAGGAAAGAGGTTTGTAAATACATAGTTTATTTTAAAGGATTTGTTAATTTACGGTGTTTCGTGGTAACCGACATGACTGCTATTCAGGACCTTCGTAAAACTTCCTCCAGTTGTACAGTTGGTATCTGATTAGTTGTCCTTACTGGCTTCTTAGATGGGCTGTAAGAACTGCGGGCGCTCCTTCTGCTCGGGGTGCCTGGCTTTTACCGCCGTGGTGCAGCGTTTTGGAAGCACTCCGCAGAAGGTCTGCAAGCAATGTCACGGGAACCTCACAAGGTGGCCTCTAACTCATTCTCCGATATGCATGTTATTTTATCATGGCTATACGTGGAGTGACACGTAGAGCATTTATTTGTTTTTAATTTTATATATGTTTTTCAGTGGTGGCACTCAGAACGATGCTGCTAGGTGGTCCCCTCCTGAAAATTACAAAAAGTGAGCATTTATGCTTTGGATGTAGGCCATTCATTTATGTTGGTGGAGGGTGTATGAAGAGCAGGAAGGAAACCTTGTGAGTTACATCATCCCTTTAAATGTGTGCCTTAGGCGAGTGGCCGTTTTGGAGGCCAGGCAAGGACATGGAAAAGCATCCTCCACACAAGTGGGAAAACCTATCAGCTCTACTAGGCCAAGCAAATGCCTAAGTAAAGAAGACCAGGTGATTGCAGAGAGACTGCAGAAACTGAAGGAGGACACAAAGCCAAGTAAGAATACATAGTCCTTTGATCGGTTTCTTTGAGAATGCATGACCCCCTCCAACCTCCTGTTTATCTCTGTGCAGAAACTGTTCCATCAGAAAAGGAGATTGAGACTCGTCTAGCTGCACTAAAGGCCCCAGCCCAGCCAGTTCCTTCGGCTAGCGAGATGGAGGACCGGTTGGCTGCCCTGCAGGGGAGAACCCCGCCCTCCATGGCTCCTCCTCCTGTGAGTCCGGCTGCACACCCTCGCATATCCCAGCTGAAGCTCTAGAGACTGTATTAGCTTAAGGATGCTGCGCTAGCTTTGCAGCTCCTGTGATGACCGGTGTTGTGGCTTCCTGTAGGTGCATCAGCCCCCCGATGCCCGCACTCAGGTGGAGCAAGCCAGTGACCTGATTACACAGATGACAGAGGAGGTCAACATTGACAGCCAGCAACAGCCGGACTCAGAAGGTACCGTCGTGTCCGATGGGGGGGAGGTGACAAGGGAATCTCTCTTCACCACCACAGTGTCTGGGAGTGGTGTTATTGGTTGACCCTCCCTCAATTCAGGCACGGATGGCCCCTTGAATAACCTGAATAAGCCAGTGGGCGGTGGGCTTGAGGAGAACCTGGACGACCCGCAGAGGGCAGCCAAGCAGCTGGAAGAGGAGAAGAGTCGACTCCTGGCTGAAGCCATGGAGGAGCTGCGTCAAGACCGGCTCAACCAGGAGGAAGTGCTGAAGATGGCCCGTAAACTGGCTCTGCTGAAGGGGCTGGACCCAGACAGTGGTGCGTCTCCGGAGGGTACCCAGGGACGCTTTTCCATTGCACTAGGAACCGAACTTTTGGTACTTAAAAAAAGAGTACTGCCCTTTTTACATTGACTTCTGATGCAGTACCTAAGTACCAAACCAGTTGGGGTACTTGTTTGGTACTTCAGTACTTTGGGATGGGACATGCAAATGTGTTTATTGTTGACTGGTTATGCAAATAACCTGCCTCACAAACACAAAATACAACTGCCATCTTGAAAAAGCATAGTTACGGACTCAGACAACGAGTATAAACAAAGTAAAACAAAAGTAATAATAATGGATGTGTGAACAAATGGAGACCCGAGGTTTGTGATCTGGTTGGAAGAACAGATTCCATAAGATCTGCTATAATATACTAGGCCTGCACAGTATTGAAAAAAATAATTGCAATGTGAATTTTTTGACATAGACTTTTGATAGAGATGATCATGATATACTTCTTGATTGCCATAAGTACTGTATGGGCATCCAGAATATTGCTCTAAGTTGTGTTGCTTAGTAGGTTAGGTGCCTGTGCCCTTGATCAGAAGGTCCTTGGTTCAAATCCCAAGGTCGGCAGTGTGAGGGGCCTTTAATCCCCAACCGCTCCAGGGACTGGCTGCTCTAGCTTTGTAAATTGTATGTTGCTTTGGACAAAGGTGTCAGCTAAATAGGAAATGTAGTATAAAATTCAGGGTTATCAGGTAATATTTTATAAACGATTATTCTTTAGAATACTATAGTATGTATTCCATATACCCTTAAAGCAAAAGTGAACCATGACTGTCATTAAATAATTAGAAGCAATTAATAGGGTAATGAGCCAGAAATTTTTTTCCTACTTGAAAGCAACAATATCTGAGTTAATTATTTAAGGACTTGTCAGAGATCCTTAAAACCAAACCAGGACTGGTCAGCACAAGGTATTAACACTTCTTTTTTTATTTGGTTGCTTTTCCAGGATCCCATTATAGAACTTCTGGGAAAGAAGGCAAAGATGACTATTATTTCATCATGTTTTTTCTTCTTAACTATATCTGCCATTTATAGAGCCTTGGCTGCTCTGCAGGACTCCCCATGTCTCCACATGCTGTTGTGACATCTTCCTCACCCTGAATTTCAGTCCCCAGGGATGATTTCCAGCCCCCTGACAGCGAAGAGGAGACAGAAGAAGAGGCAGCAAACAGAATAATAAGGCAGGTGTGTAACAGCGTGCAGTGCTAGCGAGATTCACCAGCTAACAAGGCATGTGTCTCACTGGCCGAACGTAGCTTCATGGGGTAGCGCTTTAGACTAAAGTCATTTATGGGTTGTTGCTTACTAACAGATCCATGGTGCCTACGGTGATGCTGCAAGCCTGTTTGAGCTTTGTGTCAAATATATGGATTCTTTTCTTCTTCTAGCTGTCTGAAGAAGCAGCTTTAGACAAGTCCTGTGGCTACAACATCCCACCTGAGCCCAGCAGTTGGCAGACCATAGAGAAGCCCGGGCTCCATAAAGAGCAGGTCACGTCCTGTCACCGCCGAAGCTGTAGAAGGCTTTTCTAAGGAGCAGCTGATTTAAATAGCAAAAAAAAAAATGTTATATGGAATGGAGTGTGTGGTGACCAAGCGCGTTTCCCTTTGAAGGTCCTCTCCTGGTTCACTGAGTTTCCCCTAGGCTCAAACTGGCCCAGTGCCCCAGTGTGGGCTGGTGTCGGAAACCTTGGGGGGTAGAGTTTAGAGTGAGGGTTGTTGTGCAGGACCCGTGATGATGACCTCTCACATTGCAGAAGTCACGTGCCCAGCCGGCCAGCAAGACCCAAGGAGCCCACGCCCGGGACTCTAACAGCGAGGACGAGCTGCCCTGGTGTTGTATCTGCAACCAAGATGCTACTGTTCGTTGCCTCTCCTGTGATGGGGACCTCTACTGCCAGCGCTGTTTCAGGTACCCCCACCATCAACAGACAGAGGGCGCTGTTGTGCACACAATGGTTTTGTGGCAGGTTGACTCTAAGCTTACCTAATGCTATCCATAAATAGTTTTGGTTTTAATTATTTTTGTAAATTGTACTTCTCCCCCAGGGAAGGCCATGATGAATTTGACCGAAAAGAGCACCAGGTGACAAGCTACAAGGTGCCACAGAAGTCGAGGAGGCGGACGTGAGAGAGAGCAGGAGTAAGACCTACTCCCAGTACGATGTTAATGAGAGAGCAATAGGAAGTCAGTCTCAGTCTTCCCTGAGTGTTGACCCATAACCTCTGATGGTTGTGTCAAAACCACATAGGCCTGAATGAGTCCTAGTGTGCTGTTAGCCTAGTGTTATGTATGCTTTAGGTAAGTGACCAATGGCACTTTCTGTTATACTAAGGGATACTGTATGGCAGAGCACTTTTAAGGTACGCACTGATTGTGCATTACTCTGGGAGTGTAGCTACAGGCTAACTGGGTCTGTTAGCTTTAGGTACGAGTAGGATTAGCCACTCTCCATGTGTAATGTTACACTAAATGGGGGGAGGAGCCTTCTCAATTGTAATGTTTTCACTAATCTGCCTTTAAATTAAATTAACTGGGATGGAGCAGGTTGTGATTTAATTTTTTTTCTGTTTTGGACAATGGTTCTGACCCAGAAGCTCACAGGAATCCTCACCTACAGGAGTAGATGTTCTTGTTTTTTTACATGGATTATATGAAAGTAGCTTGATTCCTTTTTCCAGGGGAGACCAGCAGTGTGAGTACATTGGGGGGGGGGGTGGAAAGGCTAGTGGCTAAGTGCACCCCCCCCCTCCATTCTGGGAGGTGTCACCAACGTTGAGATTGTCCCCAGAAGGCTAAGTCCTTTAAAATGTTTCTCCAGTGGGGCGCTGTCTGACCGCATTCCCATGGGCATAAACTCGCACACATGGGACTGAAGAAGAAGCAGAGTTTCCTGGGTTAACGGACCACAGATAATAAGCGAAATCATCACCCACAGATACGCACATTAGTGGAGCTCTGTGTGCCTTCATGTAGCCCACGGGCACTGCTTCTGCACTCTGGGTACCTTCACGTGAATGAGAAGCCATTTTTGGTTGTTTTTAATGGTCTAGTATAAAGAGCAAGAGGAGCATGTTTATTCTGAAACACTGGGGGAACAGTAGATGGGGAGGTATTACATAACACAGTGCACTGTGACGTAGGATTTAGTAGGGGGGGCTAATTGTGTGTGTGTTTGTAAAATATATAAAAATACAGCCTCTCACCAGGTTATGATGGGGTTGCGGTCCGATAAACCTATCATAAGGTGAAAATATTGTAAGGCGAAAATGCATTTTATACACCTAACAAACATAACTACCTTAAACATGCTTAGAACACTTACATTAGCCTACAGTTGGGTGCAAAGCCTGTTTTATAATAAAATGTTTAATATGTATACATGCAACTTTCCTCGCTTCAGCCTCAGGCTCCGTCCAAATTGCATTCTGTATCCTTCAGCTCTAGGTTTTCTGTAAGGAAGCTTGTTCTCCCTCTGAAAGGATTATACCAGACTTGGTTCTGTCCTGTTGTGTGAATTACCGTCTTTATTGGATTGAAGTAAGTAGGCCTATTTTCACCCGCTGAATCACTGACACTTTCAGCTTTTTATCCTTTGTTGTGTAATCTCCTGCCTGTGCACCAAAGGTATGATGCACTTTTGGACAGCCAAGCAGTTTTTATTGGCTGTTTGAGAGGGAGGTTTATAACTCGAGCATAAAGATTAGCAGGCTACAGTATTTACAACTAGAAACCATTCCTTTTATTAACACAATATACACAAAACACTGTAATCCAGAACAAAAAATATCTATATAAATAGGAAACATTGCATTCATACACTAGTCACAAAATGACATACGGATACATCAAAAGATGAGACCTTATGTTTTTTGATTCACAGACAAAGGGGCAAGGCATAAATCCTACCTAATTTCAAAACATGAGACTGTCCATAAATGATGATCAGAAGGCAATCCAAAGCAGGAGTTTGTCCATGAAGACTGCAACCGCCCACGTTAGTCCTGTTAACACAGACCGTACAGACAGACATTCGGGATGGGGGGAGCAGTGGGGCACCGGGTCTTCACATTGTGTCGAGCTTGTCCTTAAAGAATCATTTCTTTAAGGACATCTTCCGGAGACCCTTCATCCGGTACAGCAGGCCGTTGATAAAGTCCTGAGGGACACATGGGACTGTAAGTGACAGCTGGGTGCCCTCAGACAGTCTCGTTTCTGAGACGTAACACGAGTCAACCAGGCACCTAAAGTCTCTAACCAATCAGGACGTTATTGTTCTCTGTTATGTATTATGCAACTGTGCATCTATTGTCTAATTATGGATCCTCTGCATACCCATGGAGTACCATTGTCACCCTATTTATGGAGGCACTGGCTGTAAAAATGGGCACGCCCTGGGTTAGATATCTAACAGGGTCATTTATTATTAAATATTAATAATTATTAAATGGTAATTAGCATCATTATATCAGACCCATGATTAGCGCTTGCCATATTTGTCCAGCTGTGCTGTATTGTAATGTCCTGGTAGACACAAAATTGAGCTTGATGGGGAATAACTCCAGATAAAATAGGGAGGGGGTTGTTTTTCATGTTTGTATTGCTCACAGCATGCAGCTCCATACTCCTACTGGGAGTCTTTGGGGTAATCTTAGTCCTCAGTGCTCTGCTGTCTAGCTTATTTGCTAGCTATGAAGGCATCCGCTTGATGGCTTACCTCCTTCGGCTTGCCACATTCTTGTAGGAGCTCCTGTGAGTGGAGAAACGTGTTAAAAGTGTGCCCCATGACACAGTCAGGCACTGCCCCCTTACGGCATCCTGGAAGTCTTGCGCAATGTAAACCACAGCAGATCAGTCAGCCCACCCCCGTGCCGCATGCGCCCATAAGCAGCTGGCAGCCTTTCTGAAGCGCTCCCGATACGACGGGTTCCGACAAGCAAGCCGGAGACTCGGCTCGGGTCTAGACTGGCACTCACGTGCAGCTTCGATCTCTGCTGCGCGTCGGGGAGGTCCAGCAGCTCGTCTATGTCGATTTCCAGCTCTGGAATTTCCTCCTCCTGTCCCGGGCATAATGGGAATCGGTGGAAGAAACAAAGAAAACAAAGAAAAGCAAATTGAGATACAGTGGCGGCATTGTGTGACCGTCACAGATACACTGGGTCTATTGATCCACGGCTGACGACCCGGAAGGTCTGCTTGCCTAAGCGGATTTCAGTGGCAGCACACGCGTGTATATCTGCCCCTGCTGGGTGTGTATTACTGTACACGTCCATGAAAACAACAACGTAATCGAAGCCGATAAGGACAGCGTGCGATCGCCAATTACGCCCCACACGCAGCCCTGCATCACCAGAGGGAAGATAAACAAACAAATCAAATTTTATGGGATTTCCCCCATAAACATCCTCCCACTAACGCAGCAGTGTCTCTCAGAGTAGTTAACAGAAGCAGCCCACAGTGCTGGGGCGGAGCCTGGAGAAGTGGGCCCGGCACTGTACAGCTCTCATCCGTAAATGAAAAACAGGATCCGCCCCCGAATGATGCCGGGGCAGTGAAAACTGTCCGCTGCCTGCTCTCCTCGGGGATCTGCCAGTGTGAGGCCACGCAGCTGCAGAGCAGTCGGTGATGACAGACCTCTGGACCTGTTCTCAGCTGGTGCTGCCACTTCCTGTCAGGTGGGTGTTGCAGGAAACCCATGTGGATGTTTGTGGTGACCAGTTTCCCAAGGGAAGGGGAGTGTCAAAGCACGATCACTTAGCAGTGGGGTTAGGTTTCCTGCCTCCAGGTTCCTAACCCTCCCTCCCCCAGTCCCAGTATGAGTCTTAGTGCTGGGACACCACACAGCACCTTCATTTTCAATTGCCTATTCTTCACTCAGAAACGCCTGTTAATATTGCCTGTTAAGATACTAACAGTTTAAAGGCTCTGTTCACTTACTAAGCGGGAACCCCTGCAGAAGATCTGAAGGCCCATGTGTGTGATTATACAGCAGAGCTGAAATGATGACCAGAGTCACAGTAAGGAAACGGAGCACTAACAACCCAGGACACAGCCAAAAGAGGAATATAAAAGCACTCTGTCGTGCCATCGACGCCACTGCAAAGGTGACCCAGAAAGAGCCTTGCTAGTAGAAATGATCTGTCGTTGGCAGGGGTTCCCTAAATGAGGAAAGGATGTTTTCCTCTGCCTCAGAAAGCGTATCCGTGGCAACGCACCACCAGCACCAGCATAGCCGTACGTTTGGTTGGGGTGCAGTGAAAAATGTAGCACATTTCCAGATACGCCACAACATTCGTGTCTTGGCTTGTTCAGAGAAAATCCGTGCAGGAATTCCTTTGTAAGGATGAGCCCTGCTTTCCTAATCTCAAAACCTTTCCAGGTAATCAGCAGGAGATGGAACTACCTGTTTATGGTATTTTTTTTTATGTGTAAACATGTCTATATTATTTACTTCTTATTGACCTACTTCAAACATGACTGTGGTGGTGTCTCAATAATGGGTGAAGCATTTTGAAAATGAGTAATGCCCTGACTAAACACTAGAGACCGCCTTACCCGGAAGTCATCTTTGGTTTGGACATCAGCCAACAGTGATTCGCTCAAGTGCACTGTCGCTAATAAGATTTCCCTTTGCCTCTAATAGCCATTGGCCATATAACTGTTTAAACAGCAAATACCTGAAGGTCGCAGTTCAAAAGTCACATTCCTAATGAATGCACCCCCCTGTCCGCATAGACTACTTAAGTGAAATGCATTGTGGGGAGGATACTGGCTATTGCTCTGTCACATGCTGCCACAATCGCACTCTGTACTCTTACAGTAGACATCAGCTGACCAAATCGCAGCATGTGGTTCTTTGCCTGCCCTTCTTTCAGGGACCGATCGGCCGAGGCCAGAGTCGGTCCGCTCTCTGTGTGGTCCATCCTTTGGGGAATGCTGCGTGTGTTCACCGAAGGCTATAACCCCAGCAACAGCCGTGAGTGAGGCCCCAGCCAACACAAGTATAAATTAGAGATGTCGTTGAATAATTGAGCACCCAACACAGGGAGCTTGCTATAAATGCTTCCGCACAGCAAGGCGGGTGTGCCCACGGTGTGACCTATCCCACAATGCAATGCAACCAGAAGCCCCCCTCGCACAATGCCAGCCTTTATTCCAGAGCCAGTCACGTCACCTTTTCTTTGTTTTTGACCTTCCTCTGCTTTCACATGGAAGCACGTGCTGGAACTGGGACTTGCTTACACTCAGGAGCTCCACTGAGATCAGTTATGTACAACGTGTATCTCTAAACCAGCCACCCTGTGCTGTCCCCCCATCAGCAGAGTGGGGTTTCATTGCTATCGATCTCTCTGCATTTCTCAAATGCATCTGCGTTCCCTCATTGCTATGCAGGTGAATTTGCCTTTTTGAGCATCGAAAGTGATTGTCATCGCTGGCACACCACAACAAAAAGTGTCCTCTGCATTTAACTCACATATGACATGGTAGTAGGCTGCTAGCTCAGTGCCTGGGGAGCAGTACCTTCCTCAGGATGCCTGAGTGCTACCTTGCTGGCCTGGGATTCAAACCAGTAACCTTCTACCCACAATCACACATCCCTAACTATTAGGCTACCACTGTGAGCTCATAGCCAAAGGCCACAGCTTGGAAGCAAGAGAAGCAGGAGAGCAAAAGTAGAGCCGATGGAATTATTCTGGTATCTTAGTTACATTTAAGGCATCAATGAATACTATTGTTTTTACTTGCATCTCCATATTTGTGCAATCTGATGCGAATGTGTTCTCTTTTGTGCTCAGGGTTTGCTGCAGTTTCTTTATAGTGGTCCCACCAATTTGCACTGATACCAATATATATTTTTCTATAACAATGCTGGTGCCTGTGGCGGACCCTGCCGGTGCTGATTAGCGGGATAACGGCACGTTATTTTTTATTCTGTGGGAAAATGAAAGATAGATCTGCCGACCAAATTTAAAAATTAATTCTGAACATGCTGCAGGATGCATAAATAAAATATAATATAAAACGCTATGTCCCATATTTTTGGACCTTGTGATTAACCCCACCACACTCCCCACCAGTAACTAACTAAACGGCTCCTTCACCCTCCATTGTTTTGGAGGGGGTGCTGTAGTTTCATCACACGTGTGAAGGTTAACATAGAACTTTTTGTGTCTCCTATGCTAATTTAGCATAATGGTCACAGTTCTTGTTGTGTGTTTCCTTCTGTGTGGACAATGTGATCCCTGAAAACTCTCTTAAGTTGTACCCATATAGTAAACCCAAACAGTAAAGCAAAATCACTTAGGAGTCGCTATACAGGAAAAGGCATGCATTTATAGAGGACAACTATTTAGAACTGGATAAACGGAAAAAGTAAGTGAAATCTGAAATAGCAAGAGCAAAGTGGCTCTATAAAGAAAAATTAGAAAGCACTTGGGAAAAATGATCTCGGCTCTGCACAGGAGGGGTATGAAAACCATCACTGGTGCAAAGGATAAAAGGAACTCCAAGATTGCGCTGTTTTCAGAAGAGCTCAATAAGTGTGATTTGAGGTTTGATACACTAGAGTAGAAAGCCTATCTATGTGATAGTGTCCCTGCACCTTTTGATTCGCATGCTGTGGTTGATACATTCAGGAACTCCAAAGCTAAGAGTCCTGGGCTTGCCAATATAGGGAGTCGCCTGCTTATATCCTGTGCTGAGCGCTAGCAACGCATGCTATCAGCAGCTAAGGCTGCCGCGGGGCTAGTACCGTATCATGTCAGTGGCTAGGGGCTGAATCCAGCCATCTGCAAATACGTTATTCGCCCAGTAAATAATGCGGAGTGCAGCTAGCCACTGAAACAGATGGAGTCCAGAGGCAGAGTCATGCAGATTTTCACGATGAATGCTAAGGCGTCTAGGATGCAAACACTGACTAAGCACCGTATTGCAATAGCGACTGAATTAGCTCTTCATAAGCAAACCTGAAAGGTACGTATGAGTACGGCTTTGATCATCTCCGTTAGGGGGATACATCCAGGGCTGGCTCTACCTGATCAGGGGCTAAGCTTTACTCGGGAGCCCCCCCTACCAAAAGAAATGATGATCAGGTAATTGGGGGGGGGGGGGGGGCCTAAGCAGCTGCCTATTCTGCTGAAAGCTACAGCCAGCTCTAGATATATTGGTCCAGCCTTCAGCTACACGGCCCTCCTCTTCCTCAGAAACGATTTGCTGTGCAATGCAGTTTCCGTGACTTGCCTGGGGCACACCCCAAACAATGTGATGCATGGTCTGGATCTGACACGAGGACAAGGGGCACTAGGAGGAAATGGGGGGGGGGGGGCTGGAGAGGGGATCCATTATCTTCCCAGTCACCGATGCAAACAGGCGTCTTGAAGCCAATCAAGCATAATCCTTCTATAAGCTCCCCCTGTGAAGAGGAGAGTGGCAAATCTTTCAAGTTATTAATCCCTGTGACGGTGCCGGCTTCCCCAGAGCAAAATCGATTGGCTAACCGTCCAGATCATTGATACCATATATGGGATGGGAGGCGGGACCAAGATGCCCTCGTGGAGGGATGTTTTATTAAAATCTATCATATCTCTCTTAGGCGGAGAAATACAGACAGGAATGACTGGCTCTATGTCCAGCACACCGACCACGAGAGTAAACAAAACAGACTGCCCATGAACAGCTTAGTAACAGCAGCACTGTAAATGTATCATTTACATAAACATGGATAGATGGAATGAACATTTGTAGCTGCAAAAAAGCAAAGCTGATGCTCTCTTTCACCGTTGACAATAGCGAACGTCATATCAGGTATGGCTTAAGATGCAAATGACCATAAACATCACATCCTCGTCCCCCAGTCCTGTGATTGTCATGTGCGGTAGAGACACCGCGAGAGAGGAGTGCTGTCTGCAAGCCTTCCTCTCCACCTACACGCAGCGCGGCATGTCCACGCACCGAGCACCACCCCCCCCCCTAACTTCACCGTCACTGGACTCCTTCACACTTTGACATATTGACATAGGGGACCAGCCAGCAGCTTCTCCTGTAGCAAACTCCCCGCCCCCCCGTCCGCTCGCTCGCTCGCTCGCTCGATGGCCGGGTCCTGCTCACCTCACAGTCGTAGAGCAGGTGCAATTGCCCGTCGATCCACTCCTCGATATCCAGCCGTCTCTGCAGGTCCTTGCGATTGTACTTCACCGTCAGCTTGCCCAGCTTGCGGTGGGGGGGCTCCTCTTCCTCTTTGTCCGTGGTCTGGAACACCACCCTGGGCTGGGCGCTCGGTTCCGACGCCATGCCTGCCGCGGCCTCCTGGAAACAGCTGAGGGAACTCTGTACACTCACTCTCTCTCTCTCTCTCTCTCTCTCTCTCGCTCCTCTCTCGTTCCCTCCCTCCCTCACTCACTCGCTCCTTATCCTCAGTGGAGGATGGTAATAAAAGACGCCTGTGTGTGTGTGTGTGTGTGTGTGTGTGCTTTTTGGTGCCTGCTTGCTCTGTATCAGGGAGATAGAGGGGAAGGGAGGGAAAGATGCAGGAGGAGTCATAAAGACATGCAAGGGAACTCATAAAGATAGCTGAGAGGGTGAAAGTGCAAAGCCGCTGGCCAATAACATCCACTGAGAGAGTTGGGCAACCTGTTAAAAAAAAGCATCCTTTCTGTTGTCCATGCCTGACTCTGGAAAGCTAGCATGGCTCATTGTCCTACACTGAGCAAATACGTGCGGCGAAATGATTAGATCACTCATTCGTCAGTTTGCATCTCAGGACGGATGATAAGATGCATTTCAAGCATGCAAAACTAACTTTAAAAATGAGCTGAATGAATTAGAGAGGCTGTATTTAAAAACTTAAATAGAGCGTATCTTTAATTGAACCCACACTCAGCGTACAACAGCTTATCATCCAAATCCAGAGGGAAACCTTGCGCTTCCTTCCTGTGAGGCTAATCGAGGGGCCGGGAGCAACAATGAAAACATATCAAGTTTTTAATTCAGCTGAGATGAGCGCTAAGCACAAGCAAGTCTGGAGAAAGCTTCTCATTAGTCTCACTTCCTGGCCAATTTTTCCGGTCTTAATGGTTTTTTTTTATTATTAAGTTTTAATGTGATGGCAGGTGGGCTATGGAGAGGGTAATGGACCCTTTTAGACTCTGCCTGTCATGAAACTTGACACCTGCTACACTCTCTGCCAATGGGAGAAGGAGAGAAGAAGCGCTTTATGCAGCCATGGCTTCACAAAGAGGATGTGGTGGCTGTCCTGGTGGTGTAGTGCCATCTGGGTACAAAGGCCACCCTCCATTCCCAGGAGGACCATTTAAGTAGAACTCCCATGGCTGTTGATAAGGACAGCACAGAGCAGTTCCTGTCTCCGGGCAGAACCCTTCAGACAGTGGGTAGCTCAGTGGGTTCATGCTCTGTGCTTGTATCCAGAAGGCCGTGGGTTCAAATCCCCTGGCTAGTAGAGTAATCATGTCACCATTAGACCCTTGGGTTAGACCTGTAGCTCCAACTGCTTTAGGAGTTGTGAATGCTGGCTGTCCCTCCTTTAAGACCCCAAAACTTATGGGATATGCAAAAACTAACCAATTTCCCCCACGGGGACAAATGAGGTACCAATTTTCTATTCCATGGTATTACTTTGGTTCCACTAATAACCAGGACATGATGTCAAAGGTTTCTGTATCCTCGGCATTCACCGTTATTTCAAACATCGATGTTACTTTCAGAGTAGTGGGCATTGGTGGCTTGATAGTTAGGGAAGTGCATTTGTAATTGAAAGATCACAGGTTCGAATCCCTGACCAAGGCACCACTAAGGTATCCTGCGCAAGGTACCGCCCCCAAGCATTGCTCCCTGGGTGCTGAATTATCTGTTCCCTGTTCTGTCACATATGGGTTAAATGCAGAGGACACATTTTGTTGTTGTGCACTGTGTGCTGTGGTGTGTCAACAATGACCCTTGATCACTAAATTCAAATTCAAATGATGGTCTAGCGCAGGGTTATTCAAATCACGGTCCTCGAGGTCCGAGCACTGCTGGTTTTCCAGCCTTCCTTTACCTGTCAGTCAGATGTGAAGCCTCTGACCAATCAGAATCAGTAATTATTAAACTAACTACCTGGGAGAACTGAAAACAAGGCCTGGATTTGGAATTGAGGTCCAGATTTGAAGAGCCCTGGTCTAGCGTTTAGATAAGCTGTTTGGTACAGTATGGATTATTAGCACAAGCAGGTGGTGACTCTACTTCAGTTTCAGGTGTTACTGTATGAAGGCTGGCGTCACAGTGGCCTTTCGCGTTGGAATCCAAGAGCTGATGGGACAGGAAGTGGAGGAAAGCAGAGAGAAGAGATTGCCGCTCAGTCATCTTCAGGGAAGTCCGTCTTTACCTTTCTCTCCACTTAGCCGTATCATTTGCACCAAAATTCCCTTGATAAGTGTGAGTGATATCATCATGGTTAAACACTTCATAACAAACGCTATCAATTTGTTCCTCGCGAATTGCTGTGGTGCTGTTTAGGCTCATGTTACAGCGTGGTGAATGATAGATGAGATGTGTGGAGGATGGCGTTGGCTGTGTAATCATCGTTTAAGCGGGGGGGGGGGGGGGGGATACCCTCTTGAAAAGCCAGTAGGCTTCTGTATTTTTTCTCCTGGCAGGTCATGCACCCCAGTGGACAAATCGCTTTGCAAAAGTGGTCACTCCCTCGAGCCAAACCATCAAAGGGCACATGGGGGTGGCCCCCCCCAGGCTTTCCACAGATCCCCTTACAAACAAAAATAAACACTACCTTTTTTTGCCCTGTTTTGCCAGGCCGCATCAGTCAAGCGTAGACCCGCATATCGGTCCCGTCTGTTACAAATGCTGAATTATTCAGCACCTCGGTGGCTCAGCTTTCCACAGAGGGCAACCTCACGGCCAGCAGTACTCAGAGACCGGCCGTGACTCGCCTACAAGGACACGCCCCTTCCTGTCCTGTCACACCTGTCACTTCTGGTTCCTCTCCCATTCAGTTAGCACCTCACTAATAATCTCATTGAGACTTTGAAATCCCGCTGTCAGTGATAATGAGTATCACAGGCTAACACCAGAGGCCATATACAGAGGTGGCTTAAGCTGGAGACTGACTGTGATCTCACAATAAACACCTACTCTAGACCTCTGAGGACTTACTGCTCTCACCAGTTTACTGTAGCCTGTGGGCAGATATCTCCAGCTCAACCAGTATGCTTGCAGTTACAAGTTACTAAAGCTCTGATGGCAGCTCTCACTGAAAGCACACCCCTTTTAATCTGTCCATGAGTCACAGCAAAGCAGAAAGGCATTAGTCATGAATTTATGTTAATGCAGAAGACTAGCCATACTTCTGTTATTCACCCATTAGATTAGATAAGATTAGATTAGATTAGGTGAACTTTATTGATCCCAGGGGGCAAGTCTTGTGTATACAGAAGCAAGGTACATAGATCACAGATGAATATACATTTTGTGCAAAACAGACAAGTTGCAAAGACAGTACACATCCCACACCAGGTAGAGTGGAAGGAACCTCATTCAGTCATTTTAATCGGATTGTTCTTCAGTTGCCAACATAATAACCCTCCGCCCCCTTTTCGGTTCTTCTTTAACAGGAACCATCTTAATTATTGTAATTATTCACAAAAAGTGATGTATTCACGTCCTAGTATGAGAAACGGAGTGATCATGGTTTTTATTTTTGTTCTTGAAAATTACTTAAGATGATTTAGCATGTAGTCTGACTGTGTTGCTCTAGACCACCACAAAATAATCATTCCCTCTGTCTGATAGGTGGTGTACTACGTCGGGATGTGGAGGGCTGCAGTGTCATTCTGTGGTTTTCTGAGTACATAAGTCTTCTTGTTCTCCTGCACAGAATCTCTATATATCAGCTAGTTTCATTAATAAAAGCCCTTTGTCCTGGACTTCACCAAAGTCCCGACTTTCTGCTGGGGCCTGTCTGTGGCGAAGTCCCACAAAGGCTCTGAGAAAACATTATTGGTATCTTCACATAGTTTCACTTCCCTGAAGCTGTACTGTATGACTCATATCGTGAGTCAATCTCCAACAATGCATTGAAATATAAGTTACATAGTAAGTCACATTCAGTATAAACAAACATAAATAAATGTGCACATTTCAACACATAATCTCACAACAAAGACTGCCGTGGAAAGTAACTCTTTGTTGGGAATGATCAAGCTGCTAGTTAATCTTCATGTAAAAAAATGTGTTCTGGCTTAACTAGGGGGTGCAAGTAGTTTGTACATGACTGGCAGATCATTTTACAGTTTGAAATTACGCAGTTAATATAAAAGATTTTAATGATTTATTTTTAGTCACACTTAACACCATGTATTGTCACACTCCGTCTTTGTCACTGAAACCATTATGACTATTTTAAAAACATAAGTAACCTTTTTGGGGGAAAAAAAAAAACGTCAATATTATGTCCTAAATGAGCTATAGAGTAAAAATGTGAAAAGACTATCCTGCACATCACAAACGAGTTGATGATGATTGTTAGCAAGGGGTTTTATCATTAAGGCTTCTTGTCTGCCTCATTTCCTGTCTGTACTAGATAATTAGGTCGGCTTCCACCAAATTTTCAGCCACATACACCGGCTTGTTTGCAGGCAAGAGCTAGCAAGTTTTACGATTACTCAGTTTATTAAGTCTTACTCTACTAAAGTTTTTCATTTGAGGGGCTCACCTCACTTGACAGCCGTGTCTCGCACCAAGCCTGTTCTTCTACATCTGCTTTACTGACCTTTTTTTTTTATCAAATTCATTTTACTTAGTACTTTAGGTTGAGTACTTTGCTCACACATACTACAGAACAGCCCCCGCTATGACCTAATTAGTACACCACCTAATACCTAGCTATACACCAGACGTCATTGTTTTTTTTGATAATGCCTGTAGGTGCAACTAATTTGACTTAACAGCCTTACTGAGTCAATGAGTGCCACAGGATATATAATACCTACAGTAATACAGGTTAGTCTGCCTCAGTGCAGCCATCGCCAGGGGACCCCCATTATGCAGTCGAATTTTATTTGGTACAGGTGACTGAATGCCATCTGCTGGTCAGCACACGCAGTTATTCAGCGAACGTATTACACCCACAGGGCTGCTATCCAAAGGCATTAGGCATCTGCGTGTACTTGGCAAGCAAACGTGGCCACCAACCTGGATGCTGGCATGCCTGTGGCACAACCAATCACACTTCTGTTGCCTAGGAAACGGAACGTATGGCGAGGGCAACAGTAATATTCAGCTCTTTGCTTGAGATGTTTGCCGAATATCGGTTGATGGAATTGATGATACTGGATGCTGATCCTAGACCAGTGCCTCAGATGGTGATTTATCACCCATGAAACGTCGAAATTAACTTTAAGCATTCTAGGCATAAAAGAGCTAGGTCTACTGGTATATATGACGATCCACGATTATATTGGGTTGCGCCACTGCATATTTTACGCCTGTTATTTTGTGAATAGTGGTACCATGATGTGTGCATATTACAGCATATATTAATACGTTACTGCAACAGGTGTTCTTTGCATATACGTTATTTTAAAACGCACAGCCCGGTGTTACGGTAACAGGGCAGGAAATCCATCTCCAGCCGCAAAACCCTGAGACCTCCGGAAATCTGACGCAGCCTCTCTACGAAGCATTTGCAGACATCACCCTAAACAGGTTCTGATTATAGCAACTGTTGGCAGTAGCTCTGGTTAGTGGTCATGCATCAGTGGCAGGTGACTCAAGCGTCCAACACCCTGCCCCCACTGGACTCTTCCACTTCCTGAATTTTACAGGTAGCTGCAGGAGGAGGAGACACACCTGAAAACAAGCGAATGATTAAACTACTGAGACTCCGAGAAACGAGATCGGCAATAACTTTGCTATGTACAGATATTGAGTAATATTTCTTGGCTTCAAGAAGCCGTGGACTAGACGTGTGGGATAGTACAAAAGGGAAATAAAACCAGTTTGACTTCTTTTTTCCCTTTAACAATTCAGCTATAGGGCATAAAGACCAGCGACAAGGTAGGACCTGTATCTAAGAGGCCGTGTGTTCTGGTATTTGCTTTAAATGTATTTAGTCATGTTATCCAAACGTACCATTGTAAAGTTACAGTCGACTTTAATGTTTAACGGTGTTATTTAAATCTTAGTCGGTTTGAAATATTATAACTCACTGGCAGCATTAACCGAACTAAAATGTAACTCTTACCGTTTTATTTCAGCCGTCGAGGTACCTCGGGTCTCATCGGGGACGCGCCTTGTCTTCAGGATGATTTCTTCCCAGGTCTGGCTGCTGTGGAGCGTCCTGCTTCTGCTCCGATCGCCCAGTTTGCGGGCCGACACCTTCGGGGAGCAGTGTTTGGATAATTTTCAGAGGGGAGAGGAGGACTTCGTACTGGACACGGACCTCTCGGTGAAGGAGGGGGCCACCTTCATCGCCTCCCCGACCGTGACCGGCGCCAAGGACTGCGTGCGCTCCTGCTGCAAGGACCCCCGCTGTAACCTGGCCTTGATGGAGGACGAGGCGGACGAGGGCATGATCAAAGCGTGTTTTCTTTTCGATTGTGTGTACAAGCAGACGTACGTCTGCAAAATGGCCAGGAAGAAGGGCTTCAGCAACTATATTCTGAAGACCGTTTTCGACGAGTACCTCAAGGGCCCTTCTGGTTCCCGTAAGAATTTATTATTTTTCCTGGTATATCAAATACACTGTATGTTGTCAGGGCTGCCAACTCTCACGCATCTGGCGTGACACTCACGCTTTCAGACTCTCACGCAAGAAATCTTACGGCAAATCTATATTTTCCCATTATAAACCTACGTCAGACGCGCTGGGGTAGTTTGCAAAACCTACAGACTATTTACAGCAACTGTGCATTGTTTACCTCTGGCAGTACTGAAAAAATAAGCCACATACGATTGATTGGTAACTGACGTCATTTATATTCACGACCGACACACAACTGAAACCTAAAACCACACCGGAATATTATTATGTAGGGGAAAACTTTGGCACAGAGTTTGAATTATTCACAAACATCAGCCTCTTAAATGAACAAATGATGTGGAGATACCTTCTCTCCAAGTACAGACATGATAACGCTTGTCTGTTCAACATGAATTTTATGTGAAGCTCCATAGAAGGCGACTGCCAGTCATGAAAGTTGCCGAACGGCGGCTCCTGTTTGGACACGTCCTGTTCCGGTGTTATGCCGAAAAACGCATCCCTGCCTTAGAATGCATGCCGGTGTTCCGAAGAGTTGAACTTTTAATGGTTTTTTGGGCGTCAGGGTTTTTTTTAGGGGTTAGGGTTTTAGGGGTGTTTTGGGGGTTAGGGTTTTAGTGGGGTTTTGGGGGTTAGGGTTTTAGAGGTTTTTTGAGGGTTAGGGTTAGAGTTTACGGATTTTTTGGGGCTATTGATTAGCACTACGGTAGCCTTACTCGACAAAGTAGCTCAACTCGTTTCAGATCAGCAACCAATCGGCCATTTAGAGACAGGCATGCATTCTACGGCAGGGATGTCTTTTTCGGCATAACACCTGTGGCCCCTCATCCTACACCTTCCTTTCGGTTTAAGTCATTCGCGGCCTCTTGTTTGAAGCTTCCGCTGTTTATCGGGCCGTTTCCGATTAAAACTCTGTAACAGGCTACACTAGTGCTAGGATCACGATTAGCAGAAGTCCTTTTTGCTCTGCCCCATTACACAGGCAAGGGACGTGGACATTGCGGGGAGCCAACTCACGCATCTGGCGTGACACTCACGCTTTCATTATCACACGCAAGAAATCTTACGGCAAATCTATATTAATCAGTTATAAACCTAAAATTAGCTACATCAAAAGCCTTGGGATAGTCTGAAAATTCTACATCCTATTTACAAGGTAATAAAACTGTTACATACATGCAGACTTGTCTCGAATTGAAAACACATCTGTTGCTATCCCTTTAAAAATGACACATGTAATCGTATCAAAATGTTTTTTGTTTTTTTTTTCTACTTACCCGTAAATGTCTGTGTTCCTTGTGGCTACAATCTGTGTTCCTGGTAAGTTGAGTCTTTTTGGAGACTCAAAAGCAGTGAATTGCTGTCCGTTGATGTCAGATGATCTTCTGAACTAGGTCCTTAACATCCTCTCATAGAGCAAGACAGACCCCCGATTGCCAGGGTGGGGCCGGATAAAGTGGTGCAGCCAGATGAAGACGTGCTTCTGCAGGGGATTGAGAGCATGGATGATCATAGGATCGAGACCTATGAATGGACCCTCATTTCTGGTGACTCCTCTATGGTCATGGAGGTGAATGTAGTTTCTGTGATCTCCAGTCCACACTGCTTTCAATTACAATTACACCTGTGTTGGAGTACTTAGTTTTGTGTTTATGAGGATTCAAGGTCTCTACTCTTAGGATAAAGGTAGTATGTTTAGTTTTTATTTAAGATTTTTTTTCTGTAATGCTCTCGGTTTTTAGTGCACATTCCTGATCCAGACCTCATATTTATGTCTTTGGCCATGTCAGAAAAAACTGCCAGATCAAGTCATGGTCTCCAATCTCTCGTCTGGTGTCTACAAGTTCCAACTGATGGTCACCGACTCGGCAGGCCAGTCCAGCAAGGCGGTGGTCACTGTCCTGGTCCTCACCAAAGCACAGTCAGAGAGTAAGTGTGGGGTTCAGCGAAGGCCGGCTCTAACTATAAGGCAGTTGCTTAGAGCCCCCAAATGACTTGCATGATGGAGGAAGAGCAACAGTCATCAGTTTTCTTGGTAGGGGGGCCTCTCAAGTAAAGCTTTGCCTAGGGCCCCTGGTAAGGTAGCACCAGCAGAGTTCTGGGGAAGCTTTTCTGTGAGATCCAGAGTGCTGCGTGTTTCATTCTTAACCGCACAGAAGGAAACTCTCCTGATCAGCATTAAGGTTCCTCTTTGTCTTTTTGCTGGCTTTACACCATTCTTTGGCTATTTTAGGAAAGATGATAAAATTCCCCATCTCCACAAACATCTGCTTGTGTTTTTTTGCTTTAATGCACATTTTCAGATCACGTGGGTCTGGGACTGTTGTACCCATGTGATGACAGCAATGGCTCATGGGCTTGAACTGTTTACAAAACACCCAGACATAAGGTTCTGCTTGTAGCATTCAGTCTGTACTTTCTGTGCGAATCGGCAGCCTGTCCTGTATGTTTCAAACATTCTCCTCCATGGTTCCGTGTCATTTTTTTCCAGTGGTGAATTTTAAAGACCTTTGATATTCGTCCGTTAGATACGAAAGGGTGGGACATGTGGGAATGAACCGTGTGATGACTTTATGTGCCCTTTCTGTGCTTTTGAATGAATGCACAAATTGGGAGTCAGAACAACACAGCCTTGCGGAACCATTATCGCTGTTACGTGTCTGTGTGTGTGTAAGTAATACTGCATTTTCCTCTGTATTCCTGTGGTCTAACATGGTGTACCGCACATTCATGTGAGATGTACAGGTGTGAAATTGAAAGTGACAGCTATATGCATTTAATGCATCTAGCTACTGAATGATATGGGACATTGCGTAATTGGTTCCTGGCATTTGAGTCACTGGCACGGCACTATGTGATATGGGACCTGTTTTGTAAAGAGTGGTTTATTCAGGTTGGCTTACCTTTGTGTTTCTCTGGAATTCGCCTGTTAAAACGAGTTCCTTGAGTCACCTCTGGGAAAGAAATTACCGCTGTCTATTACTGGATTTATATACTTGTAAATGGCTTTGAGGTTCTTTTTTAGTGTTAGCTTTTATTCATGCTCAAGATGAGGATTATTCAGTGCTTGGTTTAGGAAGTGCTGCTGCATTTTTTTAGGTGTGCTGTTATTTGTTATGGTTTAATTATTTGCACTTTCAGCAGTGTGACTGTCTCTGGTTCCCAATGATTGTCGCTGCCCTTTACGTGCCCATGTCTGGGCGTGACAAACTGATATCAGGTTTGCTTGTACGGAGATGTGATCTGGTTTCCCCACGAAAGGCTGCCAAAACAGGAAGTGACGACGTCACATCCCCCCACCCCCCCCCCCCCCCCCGCCCCCCCCCCCAACACACACCAGGAACTGGTTGGGCTAGTTAAAACACTGAGTTTTTGCATGTGTGGGAAGTGAGTTCTGGATTGTTCTCTCAGTAGGAGGGTCCTTTCAGTGTGCGTGGCTTTGACGTGGCATGTTAGTGATTAATGTCCTTCTGTGGAATGCAGGTTTATGTCTGACTCGTTGCTGAGTGTCATTGTTTGGGACAAGAGGTTCTGTGTCCCTGGTCCCAAGCCTAAGGTGACGGGCTAAAATAGGGAAAACATTATAGAGTTTTTCATGTCTGTGGCTATTCTAAGTGAATGTGATTTTACAGCATTTTTAAGTGGCATAAGCCCCCAAATGACAGGCAGATATTTAATGGCAGTGTCATGTTTATATTCACTGGTTTTATGTTATTGTGTTAATGTGGCCATTTAATCTGTATTGTGTGTTATGATTGACTTGTCCCACCGATTTAGCCGATGGCGACAGCCAGCACACATTTGAATAGCCGCTCTCTTAGGACCGCAAATAGTGGCATACTTCTGTCATAGTTTTCTCAAGTGTTGTGTTGAAGATGGGGGGGAATAGAGCAGCATGTACCCCCACCCCGGGAACTTGGAGTTGCCACACCACTCCAATTGCATGCACAGGTTTCGTCCTCGGGCAGTGGAACAGCCCTTAGGAAAGCCCTGGACCTGAAACTGAATATTTCGTCATCCCCGAGAGCTGAAAGGCCTCGTGAGTGGAGCGCTTTAAGCTCCGCCCCTTAGCCTTCCCACGAGGAGTCTCCCCATTGGTTAAAGGTGGAGAAATGGAACTTCCTAGTGACCCCACACATTTTTCTTGCATATTTTAATTAGTTTAATTTACAAAGACTCTACAGGGTAGATAATTAGCCCTGACTTTGTCACTAACTCTGGCTTGAGTCAGGTTAATTTTTAAAATTCCTTCTTTGTTTCATGTGTAATAAACGGACACGAGGTTAAAGTTCCCGCCTTGTGCACGGGAAGTGCTCAGGGTAGACATGTGCAGCCCGTCACACCTACCCTCCCGCTCGTGATGTCATCACATCTCCGCCACTGTCAGGTTTTTGACGCTGTGGGGGTGGGGTGGGGTGGAGTGGGGGTGCTCCTCAAGCTTCATTCCTTGTGGGCTGCTCTGCTTGTTTTTTGGCTGCTCTTGTTCGGTGACTTGTTCAGCTGTGTTATATGGGATGTGGCCGCTGTAAATCTCTAATGATTATTAGCTCTGTTAGCGTATTTTTTTCCCTATATGTTTATCTCCCGGCTGTACATTGAGCCACTTCTCATCAAAAGCAGCAAAGGGAACTGTCCTGTCGCATTACTTAGTGCCACAAGGGGGTGTTGAGACCCAAAGAGCCCTCTAATGGGATGGGATGTTCTTCTCTCCCAGAGCGGTTTACGTCTCCCTCCTTCTCGCTCTCCATGACCGTCCTATGTCCAGGCTCTCCAGGTCATTGTTGTTCTTTCAGCGATTTAAGTTACCTACCCCCCCCCCCCCCGCCCTTTCCAGATCACTGCCTGGTGCCAAAGAAAGTGGGTCCCTGCCGTGGTTCTTTCCCGCGGTGGCACTACAACGCGGCCTCAGAGAGGTGTGAGCAGTTCGTGTTCGGCGGCTGCAAGGGGAACAACAACAATTACGTGTCTAAGAATGAGTGTGAAGATGCGTGCAAGTCGGGTAGGTGCGGCCCGCCTTCTAGAGCGCCTCGGGCTGCCATCTGATGCGTGACATTAACCGGCTTCTCCTGACCTCATCCCCCACAGCCGTGTCCACCCATTCCAGCAGAGGTGTTCTCCGGCCTTCCAGTAAAGGTGAGACCGTAGCCTCCCGTCTCAGATCGGCCTAAAGGTCGCTGAGCTCCAATCGGCACTCGGGAGGAACCTGCCAGCAGTTACTGAACAGATCATGCTAATATAATTTCTAATATTGCGTGAGAGTGTAAGAGTTTCATTAGGTGATTAAGGCCTATGGATCGCATGTATGTGCTGAAAACTGTCATTTGTGGGAGGCAGAACCTCTTAGAAATGCCAAGGAAATGCTTCAGATTTGAGGGACGGACCTGCAGTTGGGTTTCTCTATGCTCTAGCCTTACATATGTGTTTGGGTTTGTATTTACCACATTATGAGGACCAAATGTCCCAACAATGTGATGTAACCTGTTACTTATTTTATTTGTGGGGACATTTTTCCAGTTCCCACAAAATAAGCTTAAGTTTCATAAAAGTGTGTGAATGCAGTTAAGAAACTGAAATAGCCAACAATAGTTTATTTTGTTACTTATGGTTAAGGGATTGGTAGTGATTGTGGTTATGGCCATACAAATTAATGGAGAGTTCCCACAATAAGAGGAGTATATGAACTCTGTGTGTGTGTGTGTGTGTGTGTGTGTGTGTGTGTGTCCACAGGTGAGGTGTGTGGAAGTCCCTGCAGACCGGACCAGTTCACTTGCAGCAATGGATGCTGTCTGGATAAGGGTCAGGAGTGTGACAAGGAGACACAGTGTAGCGACGGCTCTGATGAAGCATCCTGTGACAACCGTGAGAGTCGCACCCCCGAAACGCCACCCTACCGCACACAGATACACACAGCTCTTTAATACCAGTTCGATGTGGAGTCATTTTGGCTTGCTAGACTAACCCGGCTAATGTTGAGCGATCCTAAGCTCTCCTATTATGGGGGGGGGGGATGTTCTGCATCTCAGTGTCTGGAAACCATTATGTTCTTTCTTTGCTAGTTAGAGTTCAATCCTGTTTTTCCACCTTTTTATTAGTTGAAAAAAACTTCGAAATTCTCCTGCACATCCCAATCGATGAAGTGAAAGGTGAGTTGGCCGTTCTGTGTCCCACCCTTCATGCCCAAGTCTGCCTTATTAAACTTACTGACTTTTGTCCCCCTGCGTTTTATCACAGTGCGTTGCACAGAGCCGCCTAAAACAGGACCCTGCCGGTCTAGTCTTACCCTGTGGTACTATGACCCTCTGACCCGGAAGTGCTTCCGCTTCAACTATGGTGGCTGTGACGGGAACAACAACCGCTTTGAGGTTGAGGAAACGTGCATGAACACCTGTCAAGTCGTATCGGGTAAGATCTGCTGTGTATAATGTTCAGGCACTAATGATGTCCGTCGATTTCTGATGTCTTGCCTTCAGTAATCTAACAGTTAGTATTACTTAAGTCTTAACTGTTAAGGTTGAAGTATTAGAGGTGGCACAAAGAAGTATTAAAGAGCTGTATGTCTGTGCAGAAAAAGACGTCTATGCAAGAGGAACCTTCGAATACCAGGAGGCACAAACAACCCAAGCAGGTAACGTTGTTTCGCTGCATCAGCTCTGCACTGAGCTGAATCCTCTATCCACAGAGGAACTTTGTCTGCCTCACAGTGTTTCATTATGAAGGTAATGCATGTATATCGGTGTCTCCCCCGACCTGCTCTTGGTCGCCCCCTTCAGCTGGCATTGCCATAGCCGTGCTGCTGGGCGTAGCCATCCTAATCCTGCTGTCCATCCTGGGCTACTGTGTCATGAAAGGCAAGAGGGAGCAGGCACCACGGCACCAGCGGGTGGCTGTCAACGGCACCCATACGTTAGCCACCGAGGACATGGAGCGCCTGGTCTACAACACCACTACCAAGCCCATCTGACCTGCCGTTCCCGCCCACCTACCTGCCCTGCCTCTGTTTTTGGGAGAGTGGTTGGGATATGGAGCCATTTTTCTCGCAAAGTTGTGTACCACAGTGCAAATATACGGTCCTGCTAGTGTGACGACTCACCACCGCTGTGGCTGTACGGCAGGTCCGAAGGACTTCCGAATATAAACCTGCAGCTCTTCCTAAAGCACTGGCGATTTGTCTGTTTTAATGAGTTTCTCCACAGGGGCCTTGACGCTAAGGCCATTGGCTGTTCAGGAAAATGATTCTCAGGGCGAAGCTGTCTTGTGACTAAATATGTCAGATCCTGCTGTCCTTGCTTTTCCCGTTTGTTCAAGCACAAAAATGTGATTTTTGGTAACTCCGATGCAAACACCTCTTCCTAACCTCCAGTTCAGGAGGCTTCACCTGCCAGTAAATATTATTTTTAATTGTGTTTCCGAACTTTTGTACAGTTTCTGTTGCTGTGTGCTAACCAGATGTAGAGAACACAATGTTTCTGCTTTCCTGGGTTTCTTTGCTGAATGTTGTGTCTGTTTAGAGCAGGGGTCTCCAACTCCAGTCCTGGAGAGCTACTATCCAGTCAGTTTTCAATCCTACCTGGCTTCTGATGAGCCACACCTGTTCTCAGGTAAATACCAGGGCCAGGTGTGGCTCATCAGAAGCCAAGTTGGATAGAAAACCTACTGGATAGTAGCTCTCCAGGACCGGAGTTGGAGACCCCTGGTTTAGAGTCTCCAGCTTGTCCACGGCGGACAGAGGAACTTGAGTGTAAATGTCGGTGGATTTTATTTATTCAGGATCTGGTAAACTTTTGCAGGTATGCAGTGTTCCATCACTTATGTATATAGTTCTACTTCTCTATTTAGACATGGAAATTGGTTTTTAAGTACCAAACAACAAAAACAAATAAAAAGTCATACAATGTATTTGATTCATTCCTTCACCTGCACTTTCTCTAATCGGTTTCCCTTCTTGAGATTGTGTGAAGGAAACATCAGCTCTGGGAAGTATGGAGGAGATTGTGTGCCCTTAATGAGAAAAAAGATCCCTGTACTGTGTGTTGTAAAATAACTTTGTGTTTGCATTGGGATTGGGATGCGTTAACCATTTACTGGTGATAGTGTAGTATATAATGTTTCATTTGTCCCAAGAGAATTTCCTCCATTTTTATAATGTCTGCATGCATTGGCACACTTCCCGTTACCTGGAATCAGTATATACCGGTATGTCACAAAACTGGTTTAGGTTCAGACATGGTATCTATACTCTTCTTCATATAAGCTGTAGGAAACGAGTTTAGAAAGAAACTTGCATCAGAAGCTAGTGAATTTCACTACCGAATTTCCACAAATGTTTGGAGATTCTTTGCTTATTCACATGAATGTAAAAATTGCAGTCCTGGGGAACGATAAAAGCCATATCGAATTATCTTGAATTTCAGCTAGAATAAACTCCGCTGCACGCACGAGGCGGGAGGACCTCGACGTACAAACATAGGCAACACAGAAATTTTTATCTGGTTAGTGCTGCGTTTCACCAACAGGTGGCAGTATGGCACCACCGTAAGGTTTCTAAAACCCCTAAAGGTAAAACGAGTAATAACGGAAAATAGTCTGTAATAATGGGAAAATATTTTTTGTGCTATTTGTAAAATAGTGAAGCTTTTTTCAGGCATCTAGATTTCTGTGATGACTATGATTCTATGACGTTTTACCTGGCCGAATAACATGCCTCGTATTAACCTACTTACTAGCAGCTAGCTAGTAGGGGGTATTCGAAAGGGGGTGTCTCAATGGACAGTTTTGTATTTAGATGATATTTACCGAATTAAAAGTGATTAATTCGAAAAGAATAAAATATCAGCGTATCTTAGATAATGCTGCCTTTATATGGTAGCATCTGTTTACATGACACGCAGCAGGTGAGTGACACGCTGCCGGGTTTGTCTCCAGCTTGCGGCCATTTTGTCCGTGTTTACCTGTAGGCATAGCGACTGGCTGCATTCATACCCGTTTCATGTGGGGATTGAACCTGAATTTCGCCCCCTAGTGGTGGCATATCGAGACTCCTCCTATCCCCTAAACACATGCGGTACTCCCACCATATCGGAGAGGGACGTCTCCATTCGGTTTATACCCGTGGTTTTTGGTCATGGGCCTGATCCATTGCAGCTGCTGTAACATTTCTCTTCCAGTGCTGAGCTGCTAGGGAAAGTGATCCAGATCGATAATATTATAGCCAATAATCTAAGTAACTGGTATCTCTGCTCTGTTTGATTCTTGCTATATAATAGGCCCTACACCCTCCCTGGTGACTAGGAACAGGCAGTTCACCCACTGTTTTGTGCAGTAAAAATATTTATTCCATGCATTTGTCAACAGTGCTGTTGCGAAAGTTTGATAAAATTGTGGAAACACGGCATGAAAATGAACTTATGCATCTAAATTACAAATACAAATGCTGCTGTAAACTTGAGTCATATCAAGTTGAATGTCAATTAGTAGTATGTGTTAACAAAAAATTCCTGTATCCATGACCAATGCAGAGAGATGCATAACCTGGTGCAAGTTTCACTAAACCAAGATTCCTGAACAATGGATGCCTCTGAACTGTTTTGTACACCTTTTATGCCACCCCCCAAGTATAACTCCCTGTTTGATATTTATCATGATTATTGTATTGTTATGTTTCTGTCTTATTGCTCTCATGTATTTTCATTATGACAGAGTTGACCACCTTGCATTTCACTGCAGGTTATAGTCTGACTGAATACCTTTCACGTGACAAAACTATTGAATCCTTTAGCCACCGATGTTGGGAACCCATAAGCACAAGCAATTTTTTTACCGGGGGTGCAAATGTACCCCCTACTGGTCAGATAAAAATGCTACATGATATTGTAAAGTTATATTTGAAAATGTAGCTTCGGTTAATCATATCAATGTATAATAATAATTTATTGTAAATATATGTGCTATGTTTTTTACAAATGTATTTATCTGAATGGTAACTGATTGAGATACTCTCACCTTGCACCCCAATACACCCAGGACTCATATGACAGCATTTCAAGAAGGACTAAAGCTGTTCTGAAGTCAAAGTACATGGTCCTATTCCTTGTTCCGCCTTAATATATTTAGGTGTTTCTCAGAATTACCAACCTTGTTCAGCTGGCTGGAGTGAGATTTTCAATTCGAGACAAGTCTGCATGCACACGCACACGCACACGCATTTACATGTATGCAACAGATTTACTACCTTGTAAATAGTCTGTATTACCCCAATGCTTCTGATGTAGCTCATTTTAGGATTATAATGGAATAATACAGATTTGCTGTAAGATTTCTTGCATGAGCATCAGGCCAGATGCGTGAGAGGTGGCAACCCTGGTCTCTGTTTTGTCCACCCTCTGTATGCTGCATACTGTGTAGTCCTTAAAAGGAGCAACAATATCCTGTATAGCACTTGCATTGATTTCAAATACAAGATTAGGCATTAAGGGCATTTAGTGTTGGTTGTGTATGGATTGAGAGTGCTGTAGTTTAAAGTGCTCTAACAGTGGTTCCGTCTCCATTGATGAACCTACATATACACTGCAGGCCAGATTGCTTCATGTGTTGTTTTGTGTTGTCTAACGTTGTGAGGCTGTCATTCTTTTCTGTGTATGTCCACCCTATTCTGATGAATTTATTTATATTCATTTATGATTATATTTGGTAGGACTTTATTATACCTGGTTCATTTAGACAGGTTTTAAAGTTGGTCTGGTTGGTACAAGTGACTTTGCATTGCTTGTTAGCTGACATATCAAATGAAAAATGATTAATTTAATAATCTACACAGGGATAATAGCTTTACACAATGCAGAGTTCCTTTATTACACGAGAAGAACAAAACGAGAAGGACAGGCAGGTATTCATTCATTCTTAAGCAAATAATAATGCTTCACTATTGACATTAATGTAACAAATCAGATTAAATATTAACCAGATGACTGTTTTGAACGGACACAGCCCAGCAGTACGTATGCTGCTCACACCACATGTTAGCTTTTCAGCTACGCTTTTCAGCTTTTTTTAAAAAATGCTATCCCTCGTATCAGAATCTCGGAAAAGACTTCCTGTTTGACCCAGCCTTTTTATTCTGAGCCGAAACCCTGGGGGGGGACAGAGGCGTGGTGGCGGCAAGCGGACGAGGCCCGAGCTGCACGTTTAACTCACAGCGGCGAACTGGCAGCGCAACGGCGCATGCGCACGGGCCGCACCGCTCCAGCCAGTAACATCAGCCCACTGGTTCGGTTTGAGCTCCCAGCGCTGAGGCACCGAGTGAGACGCTCTGATCGGACCCGGGTCCCCTCGTATAGGTTCGGTTCTTAAGGAGCCCCAGACCAAAGTCACCGAATGTGCTCGAGATCTCACTAAAATTGAAAAGTCCGCACTATCTTTAAATTAGGTAAGTAAAAGTAACAGATCTTCTCATACTTTGTTCGCAGCCTTGTCAGTGCATTCGCTTTTTAACTTAATGTTAATAAATCATCTTAAACTGCTCGGTGTACAAAGGCTGCGCGAGCGACCGTAGCTAAACATCAGATCTTTTTTTTTTTATTAAGTATTTGTTCTTTGATGTATGGCTTTGTAAGTGTTTATATTAGAAACTGGGCGCTTCCATATAAACACAGTTTCTGAACAACTCGTCTGTTGCTTTCTTGGCTCATTTGTGATCCGTAGAAAAGTTTGACTTTCAGTCTGAACGCTCAGGTTTTCAGTTTTGCGACGTGAATCCTTTAGTCCGTTATGCCGTAAGACTCATTATTGCCTAGGTGTTGAAAAATGCCTTTGATTTCAGTATTTACTGTTACCTTGGTTTGCATAGATGTTTGCATGCAACATGTTGCGCTTTTACTTCTTCGCTGAAAATAATTTTAAAAATCGTTTGATCAGAAGTGACACGCAAAATGGGCAGGTACGTTTGTGTTTTAGCTTTATGGCTGTAAATTTGGGGGAAATCGTATTAGCAGATAAGGATTTTTTTGGATTGCTGTACCTTGCAGCCTTCTTACGGTCTTAAGTCAAAAATTTTGGAAGGTGCTAAGATGACTTTGTGAAGGAGGGATGGCTTCTGTGGGCTGACAATAAGATTAATACATTTTTTTCCTGTATTCTCTTATCAGTGTTAAAAAAATTATCTTGCAATGATGTCATTGGTGCCATACCTGATTGTCTCTAAGCAGACCCGTAAACCAGTTACTAAGCCCCTGTGGTTTAAACATTAAACATAGATTAAATAAAATGTACCTCATTTCCAAATTAAAGATGGATGCAAAAATGGGAAATGCAAAATCAAGGACACTATGCAAATTTGTGGCTTACCTGCAGCGAGACCTTCTAGGGCCATCAGCTGGGACTTCGTGGAATCAGTAGAAGGGAACAGTAGGAGGTGTCATCCACGCCCCAGAAAACCAAAGTAATCCCAACCTGACGTGTTCTAGTGTTCACAGCTCCTGAATCCCTCCCCCCCCATACCCCCCGTGGTAATTTGCTCCTGTATAAGTGTGACACTCTGTGATCGCTCTGCCATTTGGCCACACCTACTGCAGACCGATGTTTGGTCCTGGGCTGAGCAGTTGACTGCACCTGTGGCTTGCAGCCGTGCCCATCGCGGTGCTGAGCCCTTCTTGCTAGCGACTTCCGCGCTCCAGTATTGGCCCGTTACGACATGACAGCCTCGTCAGGTGTAACTGCCGCTCCACTGGGAGCTTGGGGCGGTGCGGCAACGGCACCTATGGGAACGAGGTGCGGCCAGATGTTGCAACGATGCAGGGCGCAGGAATGTGTGACAAGGACTAGGTGACTTGTGAGTCCTGTTCACAGGAGCACAGCTGGGGAGACACCTGGGTAGTGTTTAAGTTTGGCTGGATATGTGGTGTGAATTCCTCAAAGGACCTTGGTGGGCCTCAGCCATGCCAGGGAAGCCTGGTTGGCGGGGGGCAGGGGGGAGCCTTCCTCTTCAGGCTGTACTTGTACACCGCCACGCCCTTTAACTGTTACGGTGTTTGTTGAGTTTGTGGTGTAATGTTGTGTGGCTGTATACACAACAAGGCCTTGCACGCTCACTGTGTTCATGCTCAAGTCACTTGCATTTTTTTTTCTTGCCCTCTAGTCTTAACACGCTGCCCCCTGCTGTTGTCACTCCTCTCGCACCTTAGCACAAACGCATTTCTGCCGCAGGTCAGCTGTGACCTTATAGAGGTGGGAGGTGGTGTGGTATGGTGGTGTGGGGCTTGGGGCACCTGTAACTCCGCCAGCTGCCTTTTGGTAACGTGACGAGGGGCCTGGCCAGATTTAGGGGGGGAGCTCTTGTCGCTTCCCCATTTTTTGACCCGAATATTTTGTCCTGTATGATTATCTGCTGGATTTCTGCATTGAAGGCAACAAACTTGGGAGGGGGAAATAATTGTCTGAGGCATTATGGCTAGACTTGACCCGCCAAAGAGATTTTCCTATTCTGTTGATTTGCTTGAGTTGTGTCATGCAGCGAGGATGGGGTGTGGTTTTTGGAAGGGCTGTGGGTGTTTAACTGGGAGCTGTGGCCAGCCCAGTTCCTCTCTGCGGCACGGGAAGCAGGGCCTGTGACGCAGCGTGCTGGGGGCGGGGGTGGGGGGGGGCACTTGCGCACTGTTTCCTGATTGACGGGCAGATATAGGTTACTCTGAGGGGGTGGGGATGAGCTAAGCCTTGTGTACTGCCACAGCTTATCGCTCTCCCAGTATCAGACAGCGAGAGTGCAGCTCTTCTCCGTGTCTCCTTGATGCTAGGTGGCGGGCTAGTTAGCAAAGTTTTCAGAATACCCGCAAAAATTGTTTCAGTTCAAAGTTTTATTCATCACACACAATTCGACTGAGAACAGTGTGCAGCTATGTAGCCCCAGACTCTGAACAAAAGGCACATTAGCTCGATAGATAAGACCGAGACGGGGCATAACGCAATACAAACATTAGACATTAAGTATTAATCATAAATATTTGTGCTGGCCAGCACTGGCAGTAAGTGGAGGTACTGCAAGAGTTCAAATAAGTGTGTATATATATATATGTGTGTGTGTATGTGTGTATATATATATATGTGCATGTGAGGGTTAAGTCGGCTGTGGAGAATGCTGGCCTGCGGGTCCTAAACACTGCCCCCTTTCACGATCCGAATTGCCTGGAGTTAGCTGCTCTTCTTTGGCCTATCTGTGCCGTACCATCCGTTCATACAGCCCGATTTTCCTTCTCTTGGTGCAGTTGGCTTGATTTGCATTTTTTTAATTTAATTTAATTTGAACAATTTCCTTACTTGTCCCACCCACCCCCGAGACCACCGCTGATGCAGATCCTTTCAGCGAAAATCCACTGAGTCTCTGCATGAATCCAGTCTTGCTTTCCTGATGTTCTGGCATGTTCCATCTGTCCCGGGCTCCCGGGTCACCATGGCCCCGTAACCCCGAAGTAACACCACCGTGATGGACTCAACCGTAAACGCAGAAAGCAAACAAGCTGGCTTATGCTGCCCGGGTTGTGTACACTGTCAGGATTTTTTTCACTGGGCTGCTGAAATGAGTGGAATCTGTAGGGGACCCGACGGCTGCAGTGGTCATTGTAGTGGGAAAGCCATAAACCCCCCATTGTCATAGAGTGAGTCTGACAGCCCCCACTTCGGAGGATGGGGGTGGGGTAGCGCTTTCAGATGAATGTTAGCCAGGACGCTACTTTAGCGTACAGTCCAGTAACTGGCCTTCACCTTTGCGCAAAACTAAAATGCTTAGTTGTGAATTCGGTAAAAGATAAATAATAATACTTGTAGTTTTCCAAAGTGAAAGTAAAATATTCCAGCAGGCAATGGGTGACCTTTTAAACAGTGGTAGGAGGTTCCCATGCAGCCAGAGCCTGCCACACCTAACCCCAGCCCCTGCAGATGTGTTCCTGGGGGGGGGGGAGCAGAGCTTTGGCAGGCCGAGAAACGACTTTGGTCAGTGTCAGTTTCAGCTCAGCTCAACCGTGTCTGTGTTGGCCATAGGAAGAGTGTTGCAATCACTGTGCCGTAGAAAGAGGGAGCAAGAGAAGCTTTGCAGGGTCGTTCTGGTAAACATACACTCAGTGGGAGGAGAAACCATGTGGTCCTTCTGGAATAGCTGTTCTGGCCCATGTACTGTAAGGGCTATGTATCTTGTAAGCATTCCTGGAAAGCATCACATCTCCCTTTCACACCAACAAGCTTGTTGGGGTCGGGAAGTCATTTATACATCTTGTTCTTGAAAGCTCCTCTGGGATTGCTAAGCAGGCACAGACTCCTGCCATAGCTGCAGATGTATTAACTCTCCATATGATAGTTGCTTACCATCTCATGCTGGGAATCTGTTCCATTTCAGCAGCAAGCTGCTGAAGACTGGGAGCTTCTCAGCCATGAACCCACCTCCACAATGTTTGGGATGGTCACTAGGGCCACCTATGGACCAACTGTAGCCCTCGCCCTGCATTCCATCACCCTGCAGAGATCGTGCAGAGATTGACCATCGTTCGTGCCTCGATATTTTTAAACATGACGTCGTTGTCGCAAATCTTGCCAAATTCCCTCCTTCCTGGCTGACGTTAATTAGTCAGTTTGTTTGGAATGAGGATGGAGCTGTGCCTTCAGGATCTGAGGGTCACGTGGATGTTCTCCAGTGAAGCCGATGTCCCAGAAGGCGAGGTTAATAATTACACTCTTACCGACAAGGCAATTGAGGATTTAATTGTCCGGAATGCAAAGATGTGTAGTGCAGACTTGGTCTGGGTTTGATGCTCTTCATAGAATATTGATCAAAGATGGCTTTTAAAGGCCTCTCTCGTGCTTTGAAATAATGTCACGTGACCACTCCGACCAAAATAGGCCCCTTTGCGTTGATGCAGCTCTTCATGCTGTAGGTGCTTTTTCTCGTCAGACATGATCTTTAGTGTGGGAGCGCAGAGCCTTTGAGGTTGGGCGATGTGGCCAGTTGTATGAGTGAGATCTGGAAGCTCGAGGCACTTTGTTTAGAAGACTTTCCTTGAAGCGTCTCACAAGCTGATAGGTAAGCCCATCAAGGCCATCTGGAATTCCAGAGTTCTTCTGCAATGAGAGATGGAAGCGATTACTAGCAACCGTGCCGTGGTCTGCGTGTCGTCTATCTCAGCAGCACCCTGCAGCGCCTGGGGCTGGAGGTGGTCTTTATCAGTCCCATCTTTTCAGCAAACTCCAAAATGTAATTGGAACCTTGGCCTTGATTTTGATGATTCCTTATTAGGTTTCCATGTGAATACAAAGGGAAGAAGGCTGAGCAGCTTATTGAAAGTGTGTGTCCTCAGCTGGCTCTAAGCGGGTGTTGAACTCTGGATCTTACTCCAAGGTTGTTGTTTTCTCCCCCCCCCCCTCCAGCTGGAAATAAGCCAAGATTCC